TTTCTTTTTTTTGATTAATTAAAATATTTTGACCTATGTGACTAATTATTAACGACTAGATAAGTAGGAAAAAAAAATATTTTTTAAAAAATCAGTTAATTAGCAGGTTGAAATGTACAGATCCATTAATTTTCACATGATGAGACCGGAGTTGCATAATCGACTTCATTAAATTAGCTTAATCAATTATGATAAAAGTTGATGTGATAGAATTGGGGTTTTTTTGGCATATATTTGTGTTGATAATCAATGGTTATTTACATAATAAATTAAATTTTTTGGTTTTTGGAATAGAATATTTATATATATAATTAAAATTTAAAGAAAACGGATCATCATGAATTATTTTCTAGTAGGTATAACTAATGAAAAAACAATGTACTACCTAGTTATTTTCAAAATAGCGTGTGAAGCTCCCCAAATGTTTCTTCATTCTTGAAAAAAAAAAGCCCAACCAACTAATCAAGGAGAAAATTTCAAACAACCGTTCTTAAATTTGAGTAGGATTTTCTTATTACAGTAGCTCAATCTTGTTCCCATGGGCAAGGGTTAGGATTTGTTAGCAGAGCCATCAATTTATTAGCTACTATCATTCTAACATAGTTTTCAAAGTACTAAATGAAGGTGTTAACATAAAATAGTTATCCATGAAAAGCAAAGAAAGAAAGAAAAGATGTATTAAAATGAAATAAAACAATTTCTTATGTTCGAAATGCAATAAAATTCGTTCCAAAAAAAAAAAAAAATTTACAATTTAGTGTTGTCAATGGAATATGAATTTAGTCCCGTTAGGTCCCAAAAAGGACCCAATAACCAGCCCATTTATATCCCGCCCAAATTCAACACTACCCACTTAGTGCCCAATTTATAAATGGGCGGGAAAATTTGACTAATTTCTTTACCAATAAATGGAGTCCCAAATGGTACCTATTGGGAATGGGTATAATTGCCACCCACTGTGATGTATATTCTCTCTCCCTATGCTTTCTACATGTTAAAGAGGAATGTAGTTAGCAGTCTGGAATCAGCATAAATGCATTTCTAACATTTGTTTGTGAATGGACTGTCAGAGTGAATTGATTTAAAGTTCGTAAATTTTATTTTATTTTTTTTGGTTGTAGCATCATTACTTCTGTTTGAATTGATTCAAAGTTTCAAACTATGGATTGTAAACATAGTAGTTTGGCTTTTCTTACAAAATTTGAGAGGTTTTCCCAGTGGCTTGATAAATGATGATGATGACAGTGATAAAAATATACAAATCTCTCTCTCTCTCTCTCTCTCTCTCTCTCTCTCTATATATATATATATATATATATATATAAAGCAGAGTTCTTAATCGACACATGTCGCCCATAGAGCAAGTTTAGACAATTGTGCTACGTGTCGTCACCAAAATTCTCCTTCATTAAATAGTTAAAAATTTATTACTAATATGTAAAATTATTAAATTGAAATAAGTAATTAACCAATAGTTAATTTTGGAAAAATAAACACGTCTTTGGTAATTATTAACAAATATATGACATAAAGAAACATTAATCATCAAATTAATAATTGTATTAAGAATACAGTTGGAAACTAAGTCTGGATACATTAAACGTAAGTTAATACTCCCTCCGTCCCATAATTATTGTCCACTTTGCCTAAAAAATTTTGTCCCAAAATTATTGTTCAATTTGACTTTTTATGGATCAAGTTACACATTTGTCCTTAATAAAAAAAACATTATCCATAAAATCTTTGTGGTTAAACAATTACTTATGTAGGGGTATATCTGGTTGTTCAAGGTAAAATATAGTTAAGTTTGACTAAAAATAAAATCTTTCATTTTAGTAAAACTGAAAAATAATTATGGGACAGAGGGAGTATTATTTTTCAGATGATTTTGTTTGAAATATTTCCAAAAACTAAAAGATATTAGTTACCAAAAAAAAATTGTTACCAAATAACTATATTACGAATACAATTCGAATCAAGTCTACCTACATTACAAATATGTTAATATTATTTCTTAAATGATTGGTATATTTTCCATAAATAAAAAGAGACTACTTAGATTATTTACCAAATAATTATGCGAGTACAATTCAAAAATAAGTATAGATACATTAAACATAAGTTGATACTATTTTTCTGATGATTCTATTTTATATATTTTCCAAAAATAAAAATAGATTAGTTACCCATAACAAAAAAATATATTTGTTACCAAATAATTATACTGCTAATACAATACAAAACTAAGTCTGGATAAATTAAACGTATGTTCATATTATTTTTTAGATTATTCCATGTGATACATTTTTTAAAAATAAAAAGAGATTAGTTACAAAATAATTATACTACAAATACAATTCAAAACCAAGTCTGTATACATGCAAGATATGTTAATATTATTTTACAGATGATTTCATTTAATATATTTTTCAAAAAATAAAAAGAGATTAATTTAAAAAAATAAAAGGAGATTAGTTACAAATAATTATATTATGAATACAATTTGAAAACCCAAGTCTGGATTCATTAAATGTAGATTAATATTATTTCTCAAAATATTTTATTTGATATTTCCAAAAATTAAAAGATATTAATTACAAAAATAAAGAGATTAGTTACCGAATCATTATATTACGAATACAATTTAAACTTACATTAAATGTATATTAGTATTATTTTAAATGATCTCATTTGATATATTTTTAAAAAATAAAAAAGAAATAGTTATTAAAAATATATAGATTAGTTGCCAAATCATTATATTACGAATACAATTTGAAATCAATTTTAGATACATCATACATAGGCTAATATTATTTTTTAAATAATTTCATTTGATATATTTTCTAAAAATAAAAAGAGTTTAATTGCAAAAACTAAAAAGAAATTAGTTAGCAAATGATTATACTACGTACGTATATAATTAGGACCAAATGTATATCCATTAAACTTGGATTAACATTATTTTTCATGATTCCATTTTGAGATACTTTTCAAAAGTAAAAAGAGATTAGTTATAAAATATTATATTATGAATACAATTCGAAACCAATCTAGATACATTAAACGTAGGTTAATATTATTTCTCAGATGATTTCATTTGATATATTTTTCAAAAAAAAAAATTTAAAAAAAAAAAATTAGTTGTCAAAAATAATAGAGATTTAGTTATCAAATTATTATGTTATGAATACAACTCAAAACTAAGTCCGGACACATTAAGTGTTGGTTTGTATTATTTTTTTAAGATGATTCTATTTAATGTTTTTTTCAAAAACAAAAAGAGTTGGGTTACCAAAAATAAAAAGATATAAGTACTAATTTTTCTTACAATACAATTTACAACCAGATCTGAATACGTAAACGTAGGTTCATATTATTTTTCACATAATTCCATTTGATATATTTTTCAAAAATAAAAAGGATTAGTTACTAAAAAAAATAAAGAGGTTACGTTCTGATTCTCTCCTCTTCTTCCTTTCATCTTCGTCCAGAATCTCTTCCTCCTCTCTCCTCCCCTTCAATCTGAATTTCCTTTTTTTGTCTTAAAGATATACACTGACATCTCTCTTTGTTGAGTTGTAATTTTAGATGGATATTTTTCATTTTTTGTCGAAAAGGGAGTTTGATGGGTCTCAATTGACATAGTAAGTTGTACTTTATTATTATTAACTCAGTGTTTAGAGTGATTGTTAGAATTATACTTTGTTTCTTAATTTTGCTTGTGTTGAAGAAGGTTCGTTAGCTTATTCTAGTGTGGATACTTGTTAACAACCTTCCATCTGATTTATGATTAATAATGAGAAATGTGGTCGTTAATTGCAAAAGGTTCGTCAATGGATCTCTTTGTTTTGAACTGTTAACTAATTATTTTATCTTGCATTTTAAACTTCGACATTATAAGGAAAAATTTGGTATTACTGACATACCTTTTCTTTTCTAGAGGGGAGACATCATTTTTAGAACATGCATTATATTTTCCATGTTAAGAATTATTTCTGTTGTATGTCATTGACAAATATTTATGATTGATGGTTTTATTTTTAAACAATCACAAGGGTCTCATTTTGGTATGTTCTGCGTCGTTGCTATTATAGAATTTCAATGAGTTTAACTAAAAAGTAGTTATGCATCAATCTATGTGTTTTGGTTTTACAAAAGAAGTGTGGCACCGTGATGGTAAAAGAATAGGTACCTCGAAAAACACTCATAACTAAGGAAAACGTTATAAGTCTAGATAAATCAAATGAGTCATGCACCCATCAGGTACAACATGTTTTCCTATTAAAAAAAACTAAGGAAAAAGTTTGGAGTATGGATAAGTATTTCAGAATTATTTATTAGTTATTTTGTCATGGTTTTTTCCCCTTATTTTTTGTGCTTTATCTACTTTTGTTGGAATTACTTTTTTTTTTTAATTTTTCTTTATGCCTAAAAAAGATTATTTATAATATTGATTCAATTACTACAATTAAACAATATATACTTTTTAGTCGATATATTTTAAGAATATATATAATTTAATTTCTATTGTTAAAAATAACTTTTATATACTTATATCCCTAAAAAAGTAGGATCGTAGACAATTGATCATCTTAATTCGGATTTAGAATTTTTTTTTTTTTGATATACTAACACTCCTAAACAAGAAGCATATTAGATAGTTGAACATATTAATTTGTATTTTAAAGTAGCCTATATGGCTAAGAAGTAATTGATCAAAGTGGTAATAGTATTGGATCAAGTTAACTACAGTCCATGATAAAATTTGTGCATGGGCATGTAGTAATGATTGTTAGGAAAGGTTTGTCTTCAAAAAATGACCTACCTGATTCGAAGACGGATTAGTTCGAACAATGATTTCGAACACCAGATGTATTATATACCAAAAACGAAAAAAAAAAAAAATCCTACGACACTCTTGAATTTGGACTTCGAAAGCCTAATATACTAAAAAACAGAAAAATTAAATCATATGACATTTTTCATAATATATTAATGTTATTCTAAAATATAATAAAATCCGCACAACGTACGGGCTTAATACTAACTAGTACTTAGGAAGGAGGAAGCCCGTGTAATTGGGCTATGAGCCCATTATTAGAATTGTTTTTGATGGGAAAAAAGGCACAACTCAAGACGTGGATCGATTTGCACTGGGTTAAAAACTTAAAATTAGTTGAAGTGAAAACGAAGGGCTAAAGCTGTAATTGCAATTTCTTGGTTAGAATATAGGGTTTTGACTTTCCAGTGGCTTCCACCACTGTTCCCATTTCGTTTTCTTCATTGTTTCACACTTCACTTCCGCCAGAAGAATTGAAGCTTCCTTTTTGGTGTTGATTTACCTGAATTATGATGGCTAATCCTCTTTCCGATGATGAGGCATTTTCGAAAATGTTCTCTTCCCGATTCCTAATTATCCCCAAAAATCACCCCGGCGGCAGCAACTCCTCTGCTCTTGACTCATCCCCCAAAAATCACCCCGGCGGCAGCAACTCCTCTGCTCTTGACTCATCGTCACAGCAACTCTTCAAAAAAAACAAATCGTCACAGCTGCCTTCTAAATCAGCAACCTTCATTGCCGAAAACGAAGAACTCCTGTCCCAGATTCTGATCAAACTTCCCCCAAAACCCCTCCTCCGTTTTCAGTGTGTCTCGAAGGCATGGCTCTCCCTCATCTCTAAGCCGGATTTCCGCCGCTGCTGGTCTGCTATCCGAAGAAACTCCGGCACTGTAAGTCTTCTTTTCTGTCCCATGGGTATCAAGGATATTGGAATTCTTTCTCTTGGTTCAGAAGGAGTGGTTTCACCACCGGCCCTCTTTAATTCGAATCCTTTGAAGGGTTTTATTAAGGATGAGGTTGACATTTATATACATGGTTGCAATGGTGTGTGGTGTATTCAACCTGGGGAGGATTTTGATCGCATTTCCTTTCGGGGGGATTTTGATCTTATGTCCATTGTTGTTTGCAACCCCACCACTGGGCAACACAGAAAAATTCTGATTCCTCACGGTACTGATTGGCCAAAGGTTCGTTATTCTAATATAGCTTTTGATCCTCAAAAATCAGACCATTACAAACTTGTGTGTTGGGTTACGGACCGAATGGGTTATCATCGATTCATGGTCTATTCCTCAGAATCTGCGAAGTGGAGGGTTACAGATGATCATCTTGGCAACAAATCTAGGATAGATTTTGATTATTTCTGTGAGAATGGGATTTTCTGGAACGGGGACCTGTATTTTATTGGACGTGGGGAATCGGATGAGATATCTGTCATATGCTTTGATGTGGAACATGAAATTAGACCATCAGTGCCTCAAATTCCCAGCATTGGTAGTGATATCTCTTATTTTGGGGAGGCAGGCGGGGATTTGTGTATTGTGAGTTTGAACAATTCGGAGTCATTTACCGAGTTTGATGTTTTTGCACTCATCAGGGATCACTCTGAGTGGGCTTTGAAGTATCGATTTGATGTTGCCCCTTTGATTGCTACATATCCTGACATGGAGAGACTTGAATTTTGCATTTCTTCCTTAATTGTTAGAGGAGAGAGAGCTATGGTCATCATTTCATTGGCTGGGAAAGTGGTCTCTTGTGATATTAGCAGTATGATGGTTGATGAGCTCGTTGAATTTGAGGGTAAATTCGAAAATTACATATGGAATAATGTTTTCCAGCACGTGGAATCCCTTGCATTGGTCTGACCTTATGAGCGTCTTTGAGTCTTTGGAGCTTGCTTGCAAACAAAATTGAAGATGTTCTTTTTGCTTTATCTGGAAGAAGCAAGGAGTTGATGGAGATATGGACGTTGGTAATGATCATTCGTACTTCTTTTGTTGCTAGTATTATGCTAGTAGGTAGCTTTGCTAATATTATGTTAGTAGGTGTTAGAGCTATGTTAATTATGGTGATGTGCAATCAACTAATTACTCCCTTTGGTGGCAACGGACTGGAGAGCTTATTCCCTAATGTTATTCCCTAATGTTATGTCAGTAGGCAGTAGGTAATAGAGCTATTTAGTAGTACTTGGTGGCTTCTTATTGCTGATAGTGATATTATGGTAAGCGGTAGTATAGCTATTTGGTACTTGTGTCTCCTTTTGTTTTGAAGCTTTCCGTGTTGGAGATGGTTTGCTTATGAATGGGAAAAACTGAAAAAGTAGTTATGGCTATGGGCTTGTGGTTATTTTTTTATTTGTCAAATCTAATTCATGGATGAAACTTTTGAATGGCGAATTCAAACGATATATATTTATCCTTTTCTAAATTAACTTGACCTCCTACCTAGTCCATTTTGATTTTTTGATTTCTTTGGAAAAATGCATATGCATTTGTTAAGCTAAAGTTTAAGTAGCATTATATGTAAAATGGAAGGCCGGTGATATTGCGGACTAAAAATGGTATTCTACCTAAATTACCCATAATAAATCTAATATTAACGATACTCTTTTCCTGACTCCTCCCTTTCGCCTACTCTTCTCCCAACAATTATAATCCAGTTGTTCTGCTGGGCTACTAGGGACTCCAAACCTGCCGGAGTACCTACAATACTACAATCAGGTTGATTCAATCTCTCAATTTCTTAAACTCTGCCAAAACCTTGAGATATTTTCTAAAATCAATTGTCGATAAATATTTTTTTGTAGAGTAATGTCGCACTTCCACCTGTGAAGAAAATTAAGAGCATAGTTTCTCTCTACTGGCTGCTCACTACATTCATATGCTCACCCCCATTCTTGAGTCTCCATCAAAGTGGTCATGGAACCATTGGATTCTCCCAAAGGCTTTTAACTTCAAGAAAAGAATGTATCCAATAAATATGATTTCAAACCTCCTCTCTTAGTTAATTTTCTCATCTTTGTTTTTCTAGCAGAGAATTTTTCACTTTCACTCTCTGTATTTTTTTCCTGATTTCCTTAATCTCTCAAAGTAATAGTTTTAATCGGAACGATAGCTGTGATTCATGATACAAGCGGCAAATCGGATTGAATTCATAATTTCATAAATCGAACATGAGTATGATGAATATTGACAGTCTTTTCATCTTAGTCTATGAAGATGATGAAAAAACATTAGTTTGAGTAGAGGCTGCTTGTATATGTGGTGGAGCAAAGTGGCTTGGACAGGGAGCAGCACGATGGTTGTTAGGATTGGGGCGGCCGATGGGGAAGTTGAGAGAGGAGTAAAATTTAAGGTAGACTTGTTAGGATTAATTTAGGGGAAAAGTGTGGTTATTTTGCTCTGGAGACTAATTATTACCCTGACAATATCACTGGTAATTTGGAAATGGACCAGAGAGCTATTGTCTAGTACTTTCCGGTGGGGATTGAGGGGGAGACAATCAGAAAACACCATTCTTGATAACAAATTATTAATTAAATGAAGACACATACTCAAAAGTCTATCTACTCACAAACTTGGAGACTAAGTTCAAAAAAATCTATAGGTGAATAGGTTTGGTTAAACAGTCTGTTATTTGCCATTCATCCCTAAATTTACAGTTCAATTCAGTTAAAATTGATCGCTGGTCAAACTATAGAAGCAGAACTATTTGTAAATTAAGTGGAGAGAGTTGCAGTTGTTTGAAAAACTAGAGCATTCTCTCCGCATTGGTGTTCAGTGGTGTTCTTACAAATGTTCTGCACTTTCGATGAGGAAGGTCCTGTCCTAGTGAATTGGAGAACACTAAATAATCTACTAGAAGGGAAATCACTACCACATTTCTCCCATCTGATCAATAATTTGTCAAAAGAAGAAGGGAAACAAAAAAACAAAAAAAAAAAAAGTCAAAACTTTCTGTTCCAGATTACATGATAATCCCGAAGTAAACCTCCATCTGCTCTCCGGCTTGCCATTTTATTCCAAAGAGGAGGTATTCCCTCCGTCCCATAATTATTGTCCAGTTTGGGATTTGATTTCTAGTTTAAATTGTACTAAAACTGAAATTACAATAATTTTGTGACGGGGAAGTATCTGAAAAATAATTTCAGGTGAAGCAATTGTGCACGGTTAGACCTTCTCAGCAAGTACGCCAACCTAAATTCTAACTCCAATTACAACGGAGAAAATCATGCCTCCAAGTCAAGCGAACAAGACTTCAATTACTTCAAGGACTCATCCAAGTCCCTTTGAGTATATTCGTTCAACGTTTATCATCACTTTTGCGTAAAAAATAATTTTCATTTTCTTCACTTTTTTTTTTAATTCTAAAAAATTCACGCCAGTGAACCCCACTTAAATGTGGGTAAACTTCCCCTTACAATCCCTGGTGTTGCGTAAAAAAAAATAAAATTTCATTTTCTTCTCTTGTGCAAGTGAAACAAGCATTGTATATGTTTTGCAATCCTCAAGAGAAAAATCCTAGGATCCCATACCCTTTCACCAAGCCAATCGGTCCTTAAAAACTGAGTGCCACGGAGTAAGGAGAAGCAAAAAGAACCAGAACACATTGCGTTTTGATTATGTTTTAATTATAGTATTTTCTTTTATTATTTTTTGTTCCCCTTCTTTTTGCCTTTTGTCAGAGTTCCAGTAAGGTTATACACATGTGGGTACGAAGACAACGAGGATATCTCTGCTTCTTCGCGGGCCTTCGATTCGAAGAAAAGCTCGAAATGAGTAAGCTTGGGATTTCATTATTGCAAAGATCAGATAATTATACCCTGGATGATTTTTATTTTTTTTTTGATAAAAATTTGCTATCGGATTATTCTTAAATTACTTCATGTTGCATGCTTTGCTGCAGTTTACTTGTGAATAGAATAGACCGTACAGTTTTAAGGACACACTTGCATTTCTTTCCATTTTGTTACACGAGAATTTAACTGAGTTCAAAAGAATGCCAGTTAAGGATAAATATATTCCTCAAGGTTCTGGCTTCAGAAATAGTGGCCATACCATAGAATTGTCTGTGAATTGTTTGAAGAAAGGCCAATATCGGTTGGAAATTCGATTACTGAATTATGAAAGCTGACTAGCTTCTTTGCAAACTTTTATGTCATCAAGGCTTACGGTTTTGAGTTTCTGATTAGGTGCATTTATTTTCTGTTTGCATTTTAAATACCCACTTGCGCCTGGATAATTGCTTGTCTTACAGCTGATAATTTTGTTGTTTTGGGCAGAAGATGTGCCGCTGTAAATGAATTAGGTTTGTTTAAACCAAGTGCTTTCTCTGCCATTCCACCAACCTACACAGCTCCACATCCTAATGTGTCTGGAAGAGATTCAAATATGAAAGAAAGGTAAAATTTATACGAACCTGCGCATTCCAAAATAGTTGGAGAATGTTTATTTCCATGGTTCTTAAGTTCCTGTTGCATGTAAATTTCTCTGTCGAGTTACCCTAACATCAAAATCAATCTGGAACAAGGATTCTTTGGGTGTTAATTCTCTTAGTAATCAAATCTCCCGTATCATGTCTATTTTTCTTTCTTTGTACATTGCTGAATTACTAACTTTGATCAACCATAACATAAGCTATGTACTTAATTTTCAACCTGTCAAATATTTTTGGCTGGCGATATTGCCAGAGCATCTTTTAGCCTCCAGAGGGAAAACCAACAATGAACCAACTCAACTTACAACCTCTCACTCTCTTCATGCTTCTCTTCCTGGCTTCTCTCTTTCCCTCTGTTGTAACGCATGTCTTTCATTATTAGCTCTTTTTGTTAAGTAATTCAGATCCTCTGCCTGAAATCCACGCATTAAATTAGAATAAACAAGAGTTTTGTGCCATTTTTCAGTTATATATCCATATCTATTTTCGTTTCTAACTATAAGACTCTTTTTTAGAAGCTCCATTGTGTATTTCCATGTTTGTTTTGAGCTGAATCTTGGGGGTTTTGGGCAATCTGGGACTGACCCTTGAGCTCAGTGGCTGTGAAAGGGTTCTTTGAAATTTTGTGGTTTTTAGGTTACAAAAGATGCGATTTTTCCGGGAATTCTGGCCTTCTGGGCATTGAACAGATCTTTGCTAATCTATCTTGTGATGTAGGCTATTGTAATTGTTGTTTTACTGCTGTTTTTTTCCCCCAAATTTATGAGAAATGAGAATACTTGGCCTTTTTTAATGCGTGTGAATTGTGTTTTTTACCAAACATTTTTTTTTTTACTTTATTCATTCTTTATTCAGATGGGGTGGTTTTTTATGTGGTCATTATGTACTAGTGTGTCATGCATCATGTTGCCTTTCGGAGAAGTATATGTGTTCGGAAAATGCCTTTTGACATTGTTTACAGGCCTGTCATGAATGGTTTCTTTGCATTTTCATCCTTATTTCCTGGCAATAAATGTCAATGTGGTTTGCCTATTGGATGGAGTCCTTCATTTGAAAAGGGGTGCTTCATATACTTTCAAGTCTGTAAATCTTCTCCTTTTCTGGACTGACATGTGGTTCTATGAGCTAAAATTTTGATTTTTTCCCTCCAAATTGTGTTGAGATTAAAATACATATGTTGTCTTCCAATTTACTCTCGCTTTGTGCTTTATAGAACTTCCAGTTAAACCCTGCTAATCTTGTTAGTCCACTTGGATTACTTTTCATTAGGTCATTTGATTTTTTGGGTTTGCTTTTTTGGTGGTGGTGGTTCACTGGTTGGCGAGTTTCATTGCTTATGTAATCATTATTTCCCAAATATTGTTTCGACCTCGCATTCTGGGTTCAGGAGAGATGCAATTGCAGAGCTTTTTGTTTCCATTCGGTTGAACCACCTTATTTATGATGATTAACAGGATAGATTCTGCATGTATTTCCTTCTCTTTTGCGCTTTTAGTGAAATGTGTTTTGATATTCTGAGAGGATTAAGTAGAGCTTGCTGGATTTCATTTATGCTCAGTACTAATTTCTTTTGTTAATTTATTTGGCTTTCTAACAGGTTTGAGATATCTGCCCTTCATGGAAGGGAAACGGTGGTTAGTCATTGCTTCAATAATATTGAAAAAGAGATGAGCTGAGCACGTGTTCTGAGACAACCGCTGATGGCATTTGGAAGCTACCTGTGGGAATTATTTGTCATATTTACCGATTACCTGCATTTTCGGTGCAGGATGTTTGTGTAGAAGATGAAATGAGATTGTGAGTTCTAATAGGGTTTTGTGGAACTAGTCACAGGTCCTGACAAAATAGCCGTGATATTCCATGTTCACGAGCTAGGATGAACCCGTTGGATATGCTTTTGATCCGATTCTTTGGAAATGGTATTCCATAGAACTTCCCTAGATCAAGACATGTAATTGGTTCATTGATTCATTGTGTGGATTAGTATGTTTCATGGACAACCACAGTAGAAGTGAAGTACTGTATATGTATGTAATCTTATCACTAAGCAATGTAATAGGGCTAATTTCTGAGATCATAGTTTGCCATAATTGGCTTGGTTACAAAAGATCACTCTTAGGTGATGCCTATACTATCTTGCCTAATTACATGTTCCAAATCCGGGGGAGGATTTGGCAAAAAATGGATTCCTAATGGCAATGTAATAGGGCTTCAAGAAGCGCCAGGACAGAATTTCTGAGATCATAGTTGTAACAAGGATTTGGTCTGTTGGCATTTTCAAAAGGCATTTATCTCTTGTAATCTACACGTTCATTGGAGTTTCTAGTAATACTTCTACTTCTCCACAGAGAACGAACCAGCTCCTTTCCCTCCCGCACAAAAATAGGGCGGCTTCTCTTAAAAAAGCTCCTTCTGGGATTGATTGGGGATGGTGGCGGTTGCACCCAGAATTCATTGGGCTCCAAGTCGTACTCCCGGTCTCGGTCTTCTGGTGACAGGAACCCCCAGAAATTGGACTCTGCAACTTCGCTTTCGCTCTCTTCATCCGACGAACCATACGTTGCCTGCAAAATTCTCAGACCGTCGCGGACTTTGCGGTAAGCTTTAACGTGGAACAGTGGTTTGCCTCCTGGCCCATAGAACGTTCTGACAGAGAAGGGGGCAAGAGAATCTGAAAACAATCACGCAATCGCATATGAGGTCTTCAATATGATTATCAGAAAAGAGAATTTAACTGAAACTCCACCCCGGAAAAATCACTTAAAAAAAACAAGAATTTTCGATAACTGCCACAGAAACAGAGTACCTTCATCAAGGGTTGTTGATTGAGCAGCAACAGTCAATGGTTGAAATGAAAGGTTAACGCCAAGATCAGTAGATATCTTGGACTTATCAGCATCATCAGGACGAGGAAGGCCATCTAAGCTGAGAAAGTTGGGATCTTGATGAACTTCGGGACCATTCCCTGAAAATTTCGTTCGTGTATTGAAGAGAAAAAGATGAGAAATCATCGCAGAAAACACCGATAGTATTAGCCAAGATTGACCCAAAATCACTTAAAAACAATAATTTTGGATAACTGTCAAAGGAACAGAGTACCTTCATCATCAGTAGATATGTTGGATTTATCAGCGTCAGCAGGACGAGGAAGGCCATCTATCTAAGCTGAGAAAGTTGGGATCTTGATGAACTTCGGGACCATTCCCTGAAAATTTCGTTCGTGTATTGAAGAGAAAAAGATGAGAAATCATCGCAGAAAACACCGATGGTATTAGCCAAGATTGACCCAAAATCACTTAAAAACAATAATTTTGGATAACTGTCACAGGAACAGAGTACCTTCATCATCAGTAGATATCTTGGATTTATCAGCATCAGCAGGACGAGGAAGGCCATCCAAGCTGAGAAAGTTGGGATCTTGATGAACTTCGGGACCATCCCCTGAAAAATTCGTTCGTGTATCGAAGAGAAAAAGATAAGAAATCATCGCAGAAAACACCGTCCATGAAAGATGAAACTAATGCAAACATTAGACGGGTTTCAATAATTCAAGAAAAAAGACAATACCTTGGAGCGCATTAATGGAAGATGAAGTGCAGGAAGGGGACGCTGTTGATTTTGCATTAGGTTTGTCTTCCATATTTTTCAACGATCAAAGAACAGGGAAGGAAGAAAGCTGGGCTGGCAGAGTTAAAAGAGAGGGAAAGTGAATAAATTTGATTTCGGCAAAAGAAACAGAGACACCTTTCTTAGATAATGATATTAATCTCTACTCTTATATCTCTACTCATAACTCTACTTATGTAGCAATCCCAATCCCAGGCCAATTTGTAAGGTGTTCTATTTATGTGTCTTTGGTTTAATAACATGTTACTTAATCATCATAGATCCCGTTAGCAAATTGCCAGTGATAGAAAGTACTAAATAATCAAACTATGTCATGAAGAACTTTGTTATTAATGAATGACTTGTATTCGTCAACAAAATTATGACTTTCTTTTTACGTAGGCAGAGCCAAATATTGAGATACATTGTAATTTTTCTGGAGAGGAACATGATCAGATCAATTTGATTACATCATATGGTGGGCGCAGAAGGCACGCTAGGGGTGACGGTGTAAGGGCCTTGTGATGGGATGATGGAGATTCTTTTCGAACTTTTTTTCCTTAGTAATAATATCAGTGAATCGGAAGAATTCATGAGCATAAACCAAAGTGTTACATATTCTTCGACACCAACAATATATGATCATTTGCCAATTCAGTTCCAATCTACATTAGTTAAAAAGGCTAGTCTTTTTTCCTGTTTTTTCCTAATTCTGAGCCCTCTGATCTCTCCCTCCCTTTGTGTTGATCTCAGTTTGTGCCTCATTTTGTCACCATTATCTATACAGCAGATTGTAACTAAGCTTTCTTTTTTGCTGCATAATGGTTTGATGCATTGGTGTCAATATATATCTTCTTTGAATCGCTTTTTGTTTCTGCATTTGGACATATCAGAAAATTGATCTCAAAATTAGCTTCAACTGCAGCAAATGCAAGACTGTTGTCCTAAAATCTGTGGCCAAACTTGAAGGTTTGTAATTGTATACATGACTTTTCTTGTCTTCATCTGATGCAGCACACACACACACACACTAAGTAATGGATCAGGGTCCAAGTTTTCAACATGAAATCATAAAATAAATTCTAGCTTCAAAATGTTCATGGACTCAAATCTTGTTTGTCTCTGTATTAACTAATTCATGGTAATGTATATTGCTACAGGGGTTGATGAAATCTCTGTTAATGCTGAGAAAGGTCTGTTACCAGTGGTAGGCGATGTCGGTGATTGGGACGACTAGAGTCAGAAAGACTGGAAAACATGTGGAGATGATCAGTGTCAGTCCTCCCAAAAAACCAGAGCCGAAACCTAAGAAGAAATCATCCCCTGCCTCATTGTTGCCCACAATGCGAAGTGATCATCACTCACATAACATATGATTTTGGTGGCAGAATGGGCACCATTCTCTGAACTCAAAACTGATCATCAGATCAGGATTCTTACTTCATTTCTCGTGTGTATATATGATTTAAGATCGTTTATGACTATGTTTTCTGCATTTTCTTTTTCTGATGGCATTGATGTGTAATGCATATAAGAGAGTCAAGATTATTTATTAAGTTTGAATCAGTTTTTACCAGTTACTAGTCAAGATTATTTATACATACAAATTTTTTTACAAATACTAAACAGAAAATAACAATTACAGACAATCAGCGGAAGCATTAAGTAGAAACTAAGTTTGGATCACAGGAATGATGCAATAGGAAGGAAGAGAACTTGCTCTACTGAAAAAACACAGTTACACAAAAAAATGTAGAGTACTTGTCAACCCCTTCTTCTACTAAGACGCCAAGAGTTAGGCTCATTATATCGGTCGTACAGTGGCTCAATGCGTTGCTGTCTCTTGCGTTTGCTCAGTTGTGTTGGATCAGACGCCTTGAAGAATCTTGGGGCTAACTCAACCAGCCACTTGGGATCTATCACGGTGACTTCATGCATGTACTCTTTGGTGGTCATGAGCAACTCGTGATATATAACCCAGTCCGGCTGCCGTTGGAACAGACTGCTTCCGGGATAAATATACACCGGCTGGTTCTCCACAAGAGTCCTATAACCCTCTTGCGGATCCTTCCTGGCAGCGTGGAAGAAGAATCCGGCAGTAATGGCCTTCCTTATCTTCGTAAAATCCTTGCCAGCGCTGACGACATCCAACCTGTACTTGTCCATAATGGACACAAGTTGCTTCCTCGCGTCCTGAGCCTTCCTCAACGACCGCGACTGAACATAGTTTTCAAAACACCACGGCGCAGAAAAGTTGTTTGCCTTCCAAGCCTCATAAACAGCAAGCAACGTAAGGTGATCTCCCTCAGGCTGGCAGAACTTGGCCTTTTTCTCATCAGCTTGACCTTGTTTTTCCCTCGGTCTGTAGAAGATATTGCCAGCATGAACCATGGCGATTATGGTCAAGATCTCATCACTGCAACCAAGATCCACACTAGCAAGAAGCATCCTGGATAGAGGGGGTTCAAGGGGGAATTCTGCCATTGTCCTACCCAATTTAGTAAGTAACCCTTCTTCGTCCAATGCACCAAGGGTGTACAGTTGTTTCATGGCGGATATGAGAGCTTGAGGAGATGGGGGGTCCATGAAATCAAAGGCCAGGAGATCATTGATCCCCATGGCTTTCATGGTAAGTGCAATGTTCCCCAGATTTGACCTGAGAATTTCGGGTGACGTGGTTGGCTCCATTTCATTGTGGAATGCACTTTCTGTGTACAGGCGGTAGCACTCTCCTGGTCCTGTACGCCCAGCTCGTCCTGCTCTCTGCTTCGCAGAAGCTTGTGAAATCGGCGTTATAACGAGGGAGTCAAGTCCCTGCTTGGGATTGTAAACATTTTGCTTCGCATATCCAGGATCGATGACGTAGAATATACCATCAATAGTCAGTGAAGCCTCAGCAATGTTAGTTGCAACAACCACCTTCCTCTTCCCCCGTGGAGCAGGTTCAAAAATCCTCGTTTGTATCTCACTTGGAAGGGCACCATAAACTGGTAAAATGATTAGTTCGGGAACATCTTTACCCAGTGCTTTCATCCTCTCATAGAGACGCTCACATGCGTATTCAATCTCCTCCTGACCAGTTAAGAAGAGGAGAATATCACCTTTAGGTTTTTTCAGGTGGATTTCCATAACTACCTCCAGAGCTGAGTCAACATAGTCGCTTTCTGATTGCTTTGAGTAAAATATTTCCACATTAAAAGTTCTTCCAGGAATGGTAAATATATTGCTGTTAAAGAAATAGCTCGAGAACTTCTCAGCATCCAGAGTTGCGGATGTGATTATCAGCCGAAGGTCAGGTCTCCGCTTGACGAGTTGTTTAAGTAGTCCAAACAACACATCGGTGTGGATTGTCCTCTCATGAGCCTCATCCAACATGATCACTGAATATTGAGACAAATTCTCATCACCCAGAATCTCCCTCAACAACATGCCATCGGTCATATACTTGATCACAGTCTCAGGCCCAGTGCACTCCTCAAACCGGATGGCATACCCAACCTCTTCACCCAAACGACAACCAAACTCCTCGGCAACCCTCTTAGCCACAGATGTAACGGCTACCCTGCGAGGCTGGGTACACCCAATCTTACCCTTGGTCGTATACCCGGCCTCGGCCAGATACTGAGTGAGCTGTGTGGTTTTGCCTGAACCTGTCTCACCGATAACAACAAGAACCTGATTATCACGAATAGCCTGAATTATCTCATTCTTTAACTTATAAATGGGTAAGCTCTGTCTCTGATCCCTAATAGAAAGTTTGGATCTTGGCCCAAAAGAAGGAGCTTTTTCGTAAGCATTCTTTTTCCACTCAGGCATGTCATATGCTGACAATCCAACACGTCTCAGCTCCTGTGCCAAGCGCCTCTCGCCTGTCTCGGGCATTGGGTCTTCCCATGGCCTGTTTAAATCTTTTGGAATAGAATCCAACATTGTCCTCTGCGGCAGTTCACTTACTTCTCTTCTTTCTTTTATCAAAGCCGATTGAAGTGCTGCAGCACGACTCAATGATCCTTCAGGGTTCTTCAAAATCCTGACTGGAGACATGTCAATTGAATAATATCGACTCTGACCTTGCAAGAAAACCGGCTCATTTTCATTCAGCTCAATCTCTAGCTCCTCCTCGGCACCTTCCACCTCCTCCGCGTACATTAGTCCATCTCTTTCCTGATCATCATACATTGGGTGATCTTTAACACTCAAAACACCTGAAGCAATGAGCTGCTTCAACTCCCATTTCTCGGGTGAACTCATTCTCCTCAATCGCCGCCTCCTCCTTGAAGGGAACGAATCATCATCTACACGAGCAAGACTAATGCCAGAGAGCCCTCTAGGAGCAGACACACCATAACAGCTGCTTGGATGTGCTCGAAAACCATAATCTTCTGCATTATTCTGGTTTATTAGTGGGAGCAAATCCTTACCTGTGTGCTGATCGACATCCCTCATCGACAAGCCCAACTTCTGCCCGTTAAAGGAAATGACCTTCACATAGACTTGCTGATCCGTCTTCACCACATCCTTGGAATTCGCCGCCATCTGCGAAACATGTACCAATCCCTCCTTCCCCCTAAACCCAATTAGCCGTACAAAACAACCTGTTTTCATCACTCTAGACACTCTTCCTCTATACACCTTGTACAATTCCACCTCATCATCCTCACGGCGTCGCACCAAATCATTTTTTCTTCCCCTTGTAACTGTATCATTATCATTACCACTGCCCCTCCTCTCCTGTTCTTCATTATCATCTCTCCGACTTGACCTCTGCTTTTCCCTACCACCATAATACCCATCCCTATGCTTTTTCCTATCACCGAAATCTGCTTCCCTCTCGTGTTCGGACTGCTTCTCCTTAGCTTCCAAATCAATTTCTCGCTCCAATTGATCCTTCGTTCTCTCTCTGCTATCAGCAATCTTCAAAGCAGAAGAAAAACCCGATTTCGACCCGGCCTTGTTTACGGGTAGAATGGCGTGAATCACAGAGAGGAGCGTACGAACAAGATAATCAGGCATCTCAGCACCATCCTTTTTAAGTTTGGCAACAAACTCATCTATATCTTCACAGTTTCTACCAATCTCAATCACAAATTCACCTAAAACTCTGTCTCCAACCCCTAGATGAGTCTCTAGTTCAGAACATACCTTGGACACCAAGGATAGGTACTCCAGTTCCTTCATCCCGCCGCCGCCGCCGCCGCCCATAGAATTACCAAAATTCACCGCCGCCGACAGAAGAACCCCTAGCTGTTCTACGTCGTTGTAAATAATGAGCTGAAAACAAACGAATTGATAAAGTCTTCACAGAATCACGCCTATTTATAGAAAAGGTTTTCCGGGTCCTAATAGGATTTTGTAGTACTCTTCTTTTAATAATTGGTGGGCCACTCCCCACTTCCACGGAAGAACAGTTCTTACCAAATACTACCTTTTAATTGTTGGATTCAAATTAATAAAAACTCTATCAAGGCCGCGCATGAATTTCGAAGTGGAGAAATTTTTTTTTTTTTTTTTATTATTATGAGGATTATCTTTTGGGTTTTAGGGATCATTGAGTTTTCATATTGAGTTTTCATATTTTGTTCTAAAAACATTACAAAATTCAAAACTCCAATGTGGATTATTATCAACCAACATATACTGTATTACTCAAATTTTAATTTATCAAGTTTATTAAAAGATTTTTGTATCGTGTTTGTCAAATCTCAAACCTATCCTCTCGTGATTTTTAATCGAATTTTAATTAACATCCAAGTTAACCGAAAAAATACGTTAAAAGTCATCACATTAACTTAACGAATGCTTGCCTTATTTGTTAGAAGATTCATGGTATCTACCTTCACCATGGATCAAACTAATACTCTCTCCGTCCCATAATTATTGTCCAGTTTGGGGTTTTCATTTCTAGTTTAAATTGTATTAAAAATGGAATCTCAAACTGGACAATAATTATGGGACGAAGGGGTGGAAAAGGACGATTGGTTCATGGTAGCCATAACCAATGAATTAGTTTAGTTAGATTTTTCACGGGAATAAATAAACTGAATATTTTCATATTCCATTTCCAGTACCTGAGAAAACACAACATCAACAAGAGATCACAAACTTTAAGGTCTGAGTTCAAAGGAGATTGCTTTTAACTCTTCAGGCAAATGCAGCTCAAAGATCTTTTGAGCTTCCTGGTTGTCTGATGAGTACCAATACTTGAAATCCATTACCATATGATTGAGACTGGATTATTTCATTTCAAAGAACCCAAGTTAACCGGCTAACTAATGACTCAAATGAATCTTCACAGCTTTTTCTCATGTCTTAAGCAGAAGGCTGGAATTCTTTGAACACCATCCTGAAGAGAAGATAGCTCCACAGCAAACGTTAAACGCAGCCAGTTCCTCAGCCAGCCCCATGGCGATTCCTGGGAACAAATTAGCTCTCAGAAACTGTCTTCTATTGGCATAATATGATTCACATTTCCAGTTGCAATGAAGTCTTTTTTAAGTTCGAAAATTTCCTGAAGAAAGCAATTACCATGGATCACCTTTGGTAGAAAAAATATTTCATAGTAATTAGGAAAACACGAGGAATGTAAAAATATATTTTTTTATTTTTTATTATTATTATTTTTTTAGAATTAAAAAGACATCTTAAGTGAAACTTAGAACGAAATCAAAATGCCTTATAATAAGGACTGCAGACGACTAAATGTTTTCTGCAATTCCGTTTTCTGATGGTATTGGTGTGTAATGAGTATAAAAGAGAAGATTATTTATTCATTTTTGAATCAGTTGTACCTATTTTATTTAAATGTCTTCATAGTGCAGAGGCGAAAAAAAGATTATTATCCTGAGCGCCAAAAAGTGGTTTTAATTTCTTGTCAGCACCTGAGTTCAAAACTAGGTCGGTGGGATTCTCAGGCAGCGAGCCACCTTTTATTTTAAAGTTTAGCAAATCGATTTAGTGTAAACGAAAATTATGCGACAGAAACCATTGAAGAAAAGCAAATTGTGAAGAGAAAACCTTTACTTTCATAAACTAACTATTTAACCCATTCATGACAGCTTAAGAAGCTGAGTGGAGTACAAAGTCAAAGCCATCTCTAGGCATTAGCAAGCATATACTAGTACCATTTACAGATGCAGAGGACTGCAATATATACAAGTTCTGATTCATACAACTCAAATGCTGTTTGGATTTAAAACCTCATCGGTTTGTTTCCTTGTGGTATCCTGAAACTCCCCATCCTCAGCAGAAGCAACCCATGTTTCTTTGATGTTTATCTTGCACTCGGCTGATGAGCCTAAGCCATGTTTCCCGGTGTCACTATAATGGAATTTCCTACTGCCCAAAGCAGAAAGTTAGAAACGTGGAAACAAAAGATAACTAAATAACAAATATAAATTTTAACAATAAGTTCATCCTGGGCACAATCATGAATTACACTTACCAGGCTCAAATTCAGACTCCATTGGAGGTGATTTACTTGATTTTGTTTCCTGTGGTCCTTCCTCCATGGGGTTTAGAACCCAATCCCTTGGATTTTGCCTTGGCATAATGGAAGTGGTAGCTTTACACATCCCAGATGATTTTTCATCAAAAAACGGAACCTGTTCCAATATCAGGACGAGAAATAATGTCATTCTATGTACTACATTGTCCAGCATTTACAATGGTTTTCTCTAAGAATTCCATGTCAGGTTGGCGCTTCACAGAGCATCATAAATCTCACCTTTTGGACACCATTGTTTGGCTTGTATTTCCCAAACGAAAGCCTAACTCGGCCGAGAGTTAAGTTCCTAGCAGTCAGCTTGGAAACTCTGACTGGAGTAGGATTTACAGAAATCTGCATTGCAAAATAAAGAAAAAAAAGATTAAAGACGTCATACCATGCAAAGTGAATAGCATCTAAACATTTTCTGTCATCCTCAGATATTGATAAGTTCAATGTAAGAATTAAATGGAGAGGTAAAAGTGATAATAATGAGAAGGAAGAAGATCTTCAAATATCATTCCATGTGGACAGGAAGATGGCTTTAGAGAAAGTAACGCTCACGGATATGCTTGAAATTCCACGTTGCACCGACATTGAGGAGATCTGGGAATCCCGAAAGCTAGATTTCTCACCAAACGGGCTAGCAACAACAGGGGTTGTGATGGTATTGGTGCTCTGATCAAACCTGAAACAAAATCATGAATGTTATCTTCTGACAGTAAGAAACTAAGAATGATATAAGAAGGCATCAGAAATAGCAAGGAAAACAATGACATAATGGCTTGCTGAAACCACATAATGACTTTTATTAAGTTCCCATCTTGCAACAAAAAGCTTAAATCCCTATTAAAGGACTCTTTGCAAAGAAATATCATTCCCACAGAGTGTATGAGAGTAAGAGAGTTGCGATATACTTACTGTTGCGGAATACTTGCTGGAGTTGTTTGAGTCATCTGAGGAGCTACAACAAGTTCAGGCTGCAGAAGTCCTGTTTCAGTTAGAGGTACATTTGATGGTTCTGATTGAACTGGGAAAGTGAAAGTCGATGGTGTAGTTGATATTTGTGGTTTATTGTGGGGGGCCGAGAACAGGTGGTTTAAATAGAGGAAGCTGGTTCCTAAGTCCTTTTCCAGTTGATGGTTCTGTTTGAGAGGGAAAAGTGAAAGTCGATGGTGAATTTGATGTTTGTGGTCCATTTGGAGGGTTGAGAAGGGGCAGTTTAAATAGAGAATCCTGATTCCAAAGTCCTTTTCCAGTTAATTGTTCTGATTGAACTGGAAAAGTGAAAGCCGATGGTGCACTGGATGTTTGCACCAAGGCGGTGATACTAGCAGCAGCCGACTTCAAACCTGCAGTTAGACAGTGAGAAAAAATAAGTGAGAACAACAATAACGATAGCAAACAAACAAATAACAAATAAGATATAAGTGAGAAAATTGAAGCCACGGCTTACCTTCATCAACCGAGCGCTGATATTCCTCAAACCGCAATTCTTCGTGGCTCTTTTCTTGGTAAGAGGCCATGGCAGAAATGGACAACAGTTTTCCAGACTCTCCTGGCACATAAGTTGGAGTAAATTTTGCCATTCCATTTTCTTGATGCTTAATGTCAGTAAAAGGTGATACAGTTTGAGGTCCTGCAAACAAAATTTGCATTAATGAATTCATTTCCAACAACAGCTTATAGAATTATTTCTTCATACTACTATAAGTAACATTTAACTGAAACAAGCTATTAAAGAAACTGACCTGCAGTAATCCCAAAGGGATTCTTATAATAAGATGCTGAATTTGTCTGACCAAAGATAGACCTCGGGCAAGAGTTGTACTATTATTTGGACCAGATCCCGCGGCACCACTGCCAACCGGAGGACTAACAGCTGCAACAGGAACAATTCATTAGCAATTCTACCAAACAGGCTTGCAGTCTGATGAGAATGATCATTATTGGCAATACACAGAGTACTAGACACTTAGAAGGCAAAAAAATGCAATGGTGACAAAGGCTGCATTAGATTTTAAGAACTGACACTGCATAAATCACAGTAAGAGTAGGAGTATGCTGGTGTCACGTTCTAAATTCCACATTAGCAGAAGACTAAAATCTTTGGAGAAGCAAATCGTCAGCAGAGATTAAATTAGATTTACGACACACTTGATAATAATAACAATAATGCCAAAAAAAAAACCCATTCTTAACCTGCAGTAATAGCAATAATGCTAAAAGAAGAGAAAACGAAGCAAATTTACTTACCTCCAGTAGACAAAGAGGAATTCGTTCCAAAGGCTGGCAAAGTAGAAGCAACACTGGGGGCAAATGCTGTAGTTCCCGAACCAGAACTCCCTCCAAATACACCTGATGAATTCTTCCCGAGTATTGATCCATGCCCAAAGGGGTTAGTAGAAACACTGGGGCCGATTGCTGTAGTTCCCGAACCAGAGCTCCCTCCAAATACACCTGTTGAATGCTGCCCAAATATTGATCCAGACCCGGAGGCATTGGTTGTAACAGCAGGGGCAAATCCTGTAGTTAAAGAAGCAGAGCTACCTCCCAAATACACCTGTTGAATTCTGCCCGAATATTGATCCAGGCCCGAAGTGATTGGTCGCGACACTGGGGGCAAATGCTGTATTTCCCGAACCAGTACTTCCTCCAAATACACCTGTTGAATTCTGCCCGAATACTGATCCAGACCCGAAGGCGTTGCTAGCACCTCCAGGGGCAAATGCTGTAGTTCCCGAAAGAGAACTCCCTCCGAACGCACCTGCTGAATGCTGCCCGAATGCTGATCCATACCCGGAGGGATTGCTAACAGCACTTGGGATTATTGCAGTAGTTCCCAAACCAGAAAACCCTCCAAATACACCTGTTGAAGCCCCCGAGAATCCACTGGCACTGGATGTATTAAAAGGTGAAGGAGTACCAAAAGATCCCAAGGTGTTGCTTGCCTGCCCTAGGATGGAATTTCCTGCAGGTGACGACACCGCAAGAGGGTTTCCCGCCGTAGTAGCAGGGCTGAGTGACCCCGTGACGGCGAACGGATTACGATTAATTGAATTCGTGTTTTGCCCAAACGTGGATGGTTGGCCGAATCCTGTTGATAATCACAGCAAAAAAAAAAACCAAAAACAACAACAACAAAAAAACTCGCAATTAAAGCTTAGGTTTTTTATGTAAATGGTGAACCATGGTTAACAAGCATACTAATAAATTCTCAAACGGAAATCGCACCAGAAAAGTTGGATCCATGGAACAGCGTTCATCAGCAAAGCACGGGGAAAGATATAATCAATGAAGCTCAAATTTGCTGAATCGCACTGGCCATAATTCGATTTCTTTTCTTTTTTTCTCTCTGTACAAGTACAAAACAAGGCGACATTTATGGAGGAATTCATGGTTTGACATAGAAGAAGTTTGAGAAAACTTACCTGTAACTGAAGAACCAAAACCAGAACCACCACCACCACCAAACATGGGTTCAAAGTTCTTGATCAAAATCAGAATTAAGAGGGAAAAAAAAAAAGACGAACAGAGGAAATTAGGTTAACCAGTGAATTCAAATTCGTGTGTTTGACGTGAGAAAATCAATTGAACAAATCCGATTGAGATTCGAGAATCAAAATATGGGGTCCACCAGATCGGAACCGGAATTGTGTGTGTATATGGCGGGTGAGAATGGCGGTGGGAAGAGAAGAAAACGGGTAGCGTATTTTCTCTCTTTTGCGCGCCTAAATATTTCCCTTTCTCCTCCTTTTCTTATTTGGGTTTCCGCCTAATAATTCTGACCCAAATTCGAGGTTTGGCAGCCCATGATTCCTCAAGTACAACATTTGGGCTTAATTGGCCCAAAACCAAATGAAGCTTTTGTCACTTCATCCTTCGTCAACTGCGATTTTTGACTTTTTATTTGACAAAAAAACATCGAGAAATTTTGTCGTGTCCAAACTATGTCAAAATTGAGAGAAATTGTGGGAAGTTTGAGACCATTACCCCTTTATTACAATGCGTTGACAATGTATTGTAGTATTCCCACTGGTACTTAATATAAGACATTTTAATTTGTCCTAAGTTTGACCTAGTATGTAATTTTAATTAGAAAAAAATCTTAAAAATATTTCTTAATAATCAGAAGAACACGATGAACGTGAAAATGTATTTTAAAGGTTTTTTTTAATAAAAAATACATAATATGTGAAACCTAAAACAAAATCAAAATGTCTTATATTAAGAACCGGAAAGAAATAGTACAAAATTCAATACTAATTTTTACCGCTTGTTTTAAGAATTAATTGCAATAATTTGTCCCGAGTTTTAGGGAAAATGACACACAATTTTGATACCTCAATTTGGACCAACTGAACAACTGTATGTTTTTTGGTTTTGTTGCTGATAATCGCATGCAGTCTACTGCTCTACTAGTCTACCCTATTTTTACAAATGACTTCCTAACTTGGTCCCCTCAACTGGCAACAAGAAGTTTTTATGACCTTATTAGAAGACTAGCATATTTTGGGGCCATTTTGTGAGGGAACATTTAGTGTCCAAAAGCTTTGCCCAAAAGATGACATTTAGCATCAAAATTACCAATATCTGATGCAAATGTTGTTTTTAAATCAGCGAGTTCGCGTTTTGTTTCAACTTCAAGACTAAAATTTACCTTACTTGTTTCATATACAAATTACTTAATTTGAAGATCCATAACTACTAGTCTCTCCAATCCATTTCATTAAAAACATTACAAACCATTACAAAACATAGCAGAAAGATTAATTTAACCGTATAATCCTTGGCAATATATTGTTGAGGGTCAATTACACTGGCTACAACAAGTATACATCTCACTAGATGGATATAGATAGAATCTTGACCGACCCCTTCATCTAAGAAACCAACAAACACAAAAGTAAAACTTACTTTGTAATGTGCATATGATATCACTCCAGAGATGAGTAGTTACTTATGTAGATGGGGAAAAAATTGTTCACAATAGAAACAGGTAAAAATTTGTCCTCAACTTGGCAAAAATTGTATGACACTAAACAAGTCTTTTTCACATATTTTTGGTCAAAATATCAACTTTATGAGCACATGACATAATAATATTATTCTTGGATAGAGCTACCTCCCAATCTACATCAACTCTCCCAAGTCTTTCTTTTTTTTTTTTTTTCCCTGGAGTGAAACCCTCAAATATTTCTCATCATCACTGTATATAAAACGGTCCAATTCTTTACCAGCATTCATCAAATACAATACTAAAATAGTTCTTGCTGCTGCTGTGTACTTGTTGTTGCCAAAACAACCATGAAGGTAATGCATTCCATGTTTCATGTTTGAGTCTTTTAGAAGAAATGATCAAATTTGATGATCGATCATTTGTTTGTTGTCCATTTTTTCTTTCTTCTTCTTCTTTAATTTTCCTTTTCATTTGGTTTTATATGATGGATTTTTTTATAAAAGAAAAAAAAAAAAACAATTCTTTGACTCATTTTAATGTAGCCCTTTTGGTTGATGGTCATCTAAAAATTTTTCAAAAAGCTGATGAATTGATCTTGTATATCTAAGTATGTGTATAATTTTTCTTCTTCTTTTGGTAGGATTAACGTACTTATTTGAATAATTTCTGTGAAGCCCTTTTAGTGTTTTTGCATGTTTATAACATCAGAAACTTCTTCAATCAAAATAAAAGTAGAATACATCTAATATTATGCATATCGATGTATGGCTGCTTCATTTCTTCCTTTTAGTTAGAAAATGTCGTTCTTTGATTTCTCTCCTTTTTCTTTTTCTTTTCTTTTCTTTTTGATAAAGTAGTTCTTTGATTTCTGATTCCACTAATCCCTGTTGCATGTGAAAAATCAGAGAATCGAGCTGAAAGTGAACATTTGTTGTCACAAGGGCAAGACTGAAGTCATGAAAGCCATTACCAAACTTGATGGTATGCATATGACTTCACTAATTTTTTTCTTAATTTCCTGCACCTTCAATACTGTTCTTTGCTAGTATATATCTCAAAAAAAACACACACACACAGAATGATGTAAGAAATGATGGGAAATGTGTTTTGATGAATTAATGTATCAATGGCATTAATAATTTAGGGGTTGATGGAGTGAGCATTGATGAAGGAAAAGGGATCGCCACCGTTAATGGAAACGTCGATCCAGTGCGTCTCACCAGAAAAGTTAGGAAGGCTACGAAGTTTGCTGAGCTAATAAGTGTTGGAGACCCTAAGAAACCCGACACTAAACCGGATCCGCCCTGCCTGGTTGAACTTCCTCTGTGTTGCCGCCAATGTGAAGTGGTCGTCACTTATGAGACATACTGTGCAATCCTCTGAATGTGACGTGCTCTGAAGATGATTATTAGTTTAAATAATGAATTATCAGTAGGGCTTCATATTGGCTTTGAAGTTAATGTTTTCTACTAGTATGATTTTCAATTGAAGGATGGAGCTTTTTTTATACGTCTTTGTTGTTTTCTTGCACCATTTTTTCCGTCCTAAGCTCAAAAGAAACATTCCAATCTGGAGTTGATGAGATCATGGAATCGAAAATGGACGTCATCCTTCTCAGTGATTTTCTGCTCTTCCTCTGTTTCTGGATACGTTGATGCCTTAAAACACTTATAACCTGGATTTCATTAAGAAAAGGTAACTTTGATTTCTGAAGAATCTATGACCATATTTGAACGGGCAAACAAGAACATTATCTCTAAGGAAACAGGAAATACAAAGCTAAACGACGGGAAATTGTAATTACCGACAGATGTTTTATAAGTACAAAAACCCAGAAAAACCACACGTTCATTCTGCAACAAGACGTTTTACTACGTTGTTGATTCTAGTTCCATTGGTATCTCTCTCTAACCTTGCATTGACTAGAAGTGTTGCACCCTGAATTTCCACTCCCCATTAACTGGATCATAAGACACAAATTCGACTCCTTGCTCTGCTGCCTTCTTGATGAGCACCTTTTTGAAATTTTCCACCTTTGGACCACCCACATATTGATTCCCTGCATTATCAATACATTTGACATCAAGTAGAGTTATCTCAGCAGGTTTATTGAGCCCTTGCCCAACCTGCGGTCTCTTGCTTTCATCCGCATATACAATCACCTCTTGGTGGTTGAACTTGATAAGAGATTCAAGGTCAAGATTTCTCACATCTGTTTCCCCTAAGAACTTGATGCTACCATACCCCTTTCTTCCCACCACAAAGTCCTTCACATGGCCGCAGAATCCCGGTTCTATCCTCTCCTTTTCCGCCAGCTCCTGGATGGGAGGAATTGTAAAATGGTCAAAAGATTGCATCTTTGGCATCATTGCTTCTATGCCAGCAGCATCTTCGTTTGGAGTTAAATCCCGATCTGTTTTGTTCCTTGTGACAACATCGCACTTCTCATTCTCAGCAGTAGAGTTACATGTTACTTCAACGTTTAGCTTGCTTTCGGCTGAAGACCCTGATCCAGGTTTTCTCGAGTCACTGTAATCGGAATTTCCTAGTAACCATAGTAGAATGTCAGTATGTGGATGATAAAAACACTAATAAGTTCATAAATCATATCTGACTTCACAGGCTTACAACATGCAGTCGTGCAGTCTTTGAAATAAACAGAGTAAAAAGAAGTTACCACTGTATTTCCTCAAACATTTAAATCTAATACATGGAATACCAAAGCTTTTTCTCTTACCAGGCATTACACATAAAATAATCATGAGTTACACTTACCATTCTCAACTTTAGATGAATTTTCATCCTGTAGCGGTGATTGACTTGATTTGGTTTCTGGAGCTCCCTCCTCTGTGAGATTTAGAGTCCAAGCCCTCGGCTTTTGCATAGGAATTGAGGGAGTAGAACTTTTACCTATCCCAGTTCCAGATGATTTTTCTTCGTAAACTGGAGCCTTCTACAAAATCAGGAAAGGAAAAAAGTAATTGTAAGTACTACATTTTTCCAGAATAAAGTTCTCTAGCTACTCTATTGATTTGGTGTTTTAAACCCCATCATAAATCTCACCTTTTGGCCATCACTTTTTGGCGGGTCAATTTCAAATGAGATCCCAGTTTGGCCTAGATTCATGACAACTCTTTTGGTGGAAGAAGGATTTTCAGAAAACTGCAATGCAAAAAGATAACAAAAGATAGATAACAATAACAATAAATTAAAAAGAGGAAAAGAATTAAATGATACAAAGTGGATAAGCTGGTTCCAGAGAAAGTAGCACTCACTGATATGCTTGAAATTCCATGTTGAAGTTGGGAGACAAGGAAATTCACAGAAATCTGAACTGTAGATTGCATGCCAAAAGGACTTTCAACAGCAGAGGGAGTGATGGCAATGGTAATCTGATCAGACCTGGGAAAATGTTTTAAATGTCAACTACTGACAAAAAGGCCAGAGTAAAATTGCAAAAGGAAACAGCCGACAGAATTGTTATATGATGATTGAAGAGAATCACTTTCTTCAAACAAGAAATCAAAGAGAGCAAAAAGAAGATGGTGCATTTTAAAGATGGATCTGATACTATGTCTTTTCTAGTTAGCAAAAAACAGAACTACACAAAAAGAAGATTGCACAGTCCAAAATGATGAAAAAGCAAAAAAAGAAAGAAAAAAAAAAAAAGGCTCATAAACACAAATGAAATTACTATCCAAGATAATCGTCACCAACTGAACACTAGAGCAAAGAGGCAAAGTAATTACTGTTGCATGGTAGCAATCGGAGTATCAGTCTCTGCTTTCAAAGTCCCTAAAATTGAACATAAAGAGAAATTATTCAGCCACATAATGAGAACAACTGAAATCTGTCAATCCAATCAAAATATGAAGAAAGGAAAACTTCTCTATGTTACCTGCTGTTGGTTGTTTGAAAAATTTACTGTCTAGGGCATGAGTAGTTTGAGTGGTCTGAGAAGCTGCATTATGTACAGGCTTGGTTTGAGTTGCTGTTGTAGTTTGAGTGTTCTGAGGAGCCGCATTATCTACAGGCTGCAAAAAACAAAGTCACGTGCATTATCAGCCAATGCATCCTCTCAGAAACAGGAAGGGATTTTTTCTTGTACCTTTCTCAGCTAAAACCTTATAAATTCATGAAAACCACAGGCATTAAACTATTCATACATCATTTCCCTGTATCTATCATCATGAGAAGATAAGATCTAGCATCATGATAACGAGGCACACTTGAATAAAATTAATGGAGATCAAATTGCTTGATTTTGACTTACGGGTGCACTTGAGGAGGAAGGTTGTTGTTGTTGTGGTCTCGTTACAGTTGACATTGCAGTTGACACTTGTGGCTGGGTGTGGAAACAGAAAGGAGATGTAGGTTCAAAAGAAAAATCGCCCATTGTTCCCTTTCCAGCTGACATTGCATTTGACACTAGTGGCTGGATGTGGAAACTGAAAGGAGGTGCAGGTTCAAAAGAAATATCGCCCATTGGTCCCGTTCCAGCTGACACTGTACTTGATGCTTGCGATTGGCTCTGGGAAGTGAAAGGCGATAATGTACTTTGGGGGGAACTGAACTGAGCTCCTGTTGCAGCTGACATTGTACTTGATGTATGTGGTTGACTTTGGAAAGTGAAACCAGATGAACTCGAGGGAAAATTGACCCAACCCCAAGTTCCAGTTGACACTGTACTTGATGCTTGCGGTTGGCTCGGGGAAGTGAAAGGTGATAATGTACTTGGGGGAAAACTGAACTGAGGTCTTGTTGCAGTTGACATTGTACTTGATCCATGTGTTTGGCTCTGGAAAGTAAAACCAGATGAACTTGAGGGAAAATTGCCCCAAATTCCTGGTCCGGTTGAAGGAGCACTTGATGTTTGTGGTTGACATTGTGAAAAGGAAAAGAAGGAAGGTGTAGTTGAGGAAATGCTGCCAAAAGGTCTAAATCCAGTAGCTACAGCATTTGAAGTTTGTGACATATTATTAGGGATGAAACGACCAAGTGGATCAGTCGATGTTGAACCTGCAGTTAGACGAAGCAACTACTGAGAAAATAACATTCATATAAAAAGACCATATATACACGAAAGAATCGGAACAAAAGCTTACCTTTACCAACTGCGAGCTGATAGTCATCAAACCTCAACTCTTCGTGACTCTTGGATAAGTTAGGCATGGCAGACACGGAGTGTAGTTGCCCGCCTGCACAACCTTCGCAAGGAATTGGAACAAATGATCCTCTTCCAGTTCCTTGATGCATGGAACTAGTTGATGGCCCCGGCTTTAGACTTCCCCACACTGATCCATTTTGAGGCCCTGAAAAAGTATGCATTAATAAAGGATTCACTGCAACTAGCTTGTAGAATTATGTATTTATCCAATACACAACTCATGAACTCAACCAATTATGACAGCCTTAAAAAAAAAAAAAAGAGAAAAAAGATGCCTACATCAAAATCCAAGAGATCCACATATCAATCTTAATACAAAGTGATAAGAAGTGAAAAACAAGACGGAAATACTAACCAAAGGTCGAGGAAGAAGAAGAAGAAGGGCTTGGGGCTGTGATTCTAAAACCAGATTTCCCACTAGGTATGCTAAAAGGATTGTTGCTTTGGCCATATGTGGATCCGGGATTTAAGTTTTGCCCGGAAAACGATCCGAATCCCATATTCGCCGGCCGTTGGAAGCCTGTAGGTCGGAGGAATTAAAAGAAAGAAAAAACAAATGATGCTACAACAATTTTTCCCCCTCCGGTGATTGAGAAGAAAAAGAAAAATTTTACAAATTACACAAATGTCTCCATTGAATGGATTCTGTAAACAAAAAGCCTAAAAAATAAAAAATAAAAAAACAACCCTTAAAATCCCAAATGATGACGCACCAGACGGGTTTCCAGTAGAAGCAGCATCGCCGTAAAATCTAGCGCCAAAAAAACTACCATTGTTTGAATTTGAATTTGTGTTTGGCCCCAATTCTGCCGGTTGGCCGAAAGCTGTGTTCATCGCAGCAAAAATAAAGGGAAAACCCAGTCATTCAATTAAAGCTTCAAACTTCCGACATGCAATTGAACAAAAAAGTTTAACAAGGTTAAGAATTAAAAGGCAATTCGAGTTCAAATCGAAATTCCGGCATCCGTGGAACAGCGATCAAAGCATAGAAAACAGGGTAATTCTAATTCCAGTCTGAGAAAACTCACCGGGGAATGAACCTCCGAACATGGCTGAAAATTCTCGATCAAAATGGAGGTCGGAAAAAAGAGAAAAAAGGTTATGATTCACGAATCAATCCGAAGATTCAAAGATTCAGCAGCAAGAATCAAGAACGGGGTCGTATCGTTGATCGTTTTGAACTTCTAAAGAGTATATATAATAGTACTCCAGTTAATAGTAGCTTACTTTAGAAGCGCTTTGTTTTCAAGCTGTTAATTTATTTTGTAATTTTTCGCGCTTAAATGGCTTTTCCTGTTTATTGGGCTTGGCTTTCCGCCCACTCATAACTTGAGAGCCCATAATTGATTTGGGTTTATATTGGACCATATTTCAAATTTGACACCGGAAATACTCATCAGAAAAGTCTCCTGCAGAAAACTCCCCAAATTCCCGGCCACCTGAGTGAGTTTCCCGGCCGACATGATGGCAAAGGAATCCACCGCGGACAGCAGCAAGTGGCGGCGAAGGGAGCTCGAATTTCTCATTCTATATGCGATCGGTTTTTATGCTTTCGTCATTCATCGCTCACTGCAACTCTCCCACGGTACAATATCGTTAACTTATTGTATCTCAGTTTCCTCCTGCTATAAGTAAGCATGTTCATCGCCTTGGAAGAACAATTTTGTCATTTTTTTGGTTGAATTTTCAGATTACCAGTCCCAGCTTTATGGTTTGAGCCCTGGATGGATCGGCAACAGGTTCAATGTATGTATTTCTATTTTCACTAAGATTATGTAGTTTTTGTTCGAGGTTGTATTTTACTCGCGGTGATGTGATAGAACCATTTGTGCAAAATGTATGTTAATGCTAGCGAATCAAACTATCTTTACTAACTCTTGAGGATTGTTGAACTATTCATTTGAAAGCCTGGTCTAAGCTCAAGTAAGATAGCAATATGGTACAATTAAATCTAGTGAAACTGTAACTAAATGCTAGTACTATATATTGAGGTAACGTTGTTTAGAAGCGAAGGGAGGTTAAATCTGTTTGTTTCGTTTTTTCATGGTTTTTTTCCAAAATAATATATTAATATCCCTTTTTACATTTTCAATACACCTTTTTACATTCCCAATACAAAAAACACCTAAAAACACACACTAAAAAACGAAACAAACATAAATGTACTTCTATGTGCCTGAAAGGAGTTTGCTGAATGATCTTACCTTTTTTCTGTAGATCTTATAGTTATACGGTGCATGTTGTTCACCGTCTCTATTCTGTTTCAACTGTGTGACTAGTGCCAATTTAGCTGCTGAAGTTCCTGTGAGCTTGTTACTATTGTCTGTAATTGTTTTGTTCTATCTGTTTATTCATGAATCGGAATAATTTAAGCTTATAAGCTATTTACAATTTACCATCTTAGATGTGGTTTATCTGTTGTATTTTCTGAATCTCATTTTTCCCTTTTTGTTTTCTTCTTGCCCAGGATGTGTCTGATGCTCAATGGAGGAACTTTCGAGGGAATTTACAAATTCTAACAATAGTTTTTGGTCTCTTTACACTGATTGCCAACATATTTAGAGCAGCCTATAGTCTAAGAGCGAAAGGAATGGCACATGTTTGGCTCGTTATCTCATTGGCTTACTTGTCTTATTTACATGGTGCTTGGTATGTTCTTCCTCCAGTGAGTAACATTTTTTCTGAGTATTGTTTCTTGTAACCATTTTGGTTCTCTTCCTAATATTGTTTTTGGATTTTGATTGTAGCATCATTTTTATCCTTGCAATTGCCTCAGCCAATTTTCTTCTAGTGAAGGTATGTTACTTGAACATTTAATTCCACAATCATTTTACCATGTGAATCATACATACATGTCTGGCCAGATTTGACGAGGGTCAAAGTTTTGAGCATTGCTTGGCCAAGAATATGTATAATCTCAAAAAAATTCTATTTCTGCTGTAATTGGTTTGGGATGCATACTGGAACTCTTGCTCATAACACACTTTTCATATTGCTGATATTTAAGAAAGATAAAGTTTTCACTTCTGGCTCTGAGGAATTTGCTAATTCAGCAGGTACAGTAACTCCTTTATTATGGAAAATAATTATCTTTTATAATGATAGTCTCATGAATAGAGTAATACCTGTAGCAACTGTGAGATGTTTGTTTCCTGCTGCTTCTGTTGTTTTTTGCTTCTCCCTTTTCTTTTTTCAGTTGTTTCCAATAAGTTCCTTTTTAAGTATCAATTATCTATTTTATGGAAGCCTATTTGTTTACCTTCTTACTTCATTCTGCAGGTATTTGGAAGGACAAAGTACTTCTTGTATATGCTTTGGATTTTTAATTTGACATTTCTGTTCTGCAATCGCATCTACGAAGGATACAGATTTTCCAGTTTTGGGTGGGTTGCCTTTCCTTTTTCCTTTTCGTTTTTCTTTGCAAATTGTAAGGTAGTAAATAGTAATTCATGCTGGTTACTGTCTTATGGTTGTATTTTCTCATGAATAGGCAGCAGATGGCTTTTCTTGATTATTTTCGGGGTACCTTCAGATGGCAAATCTGCTTTAATTTCGGTATTTGCTTTTCCTTATTATCTTGGTAGCTGGGGCTCAGTTTCCAAGTATTTCTTCTACAATACCTTTTTTCAGTTAGCAAGTTGATGTGGTTGATTATGATTGGGAAAACATAATTGTGTTAACTTTCTGCTTGAAATTGATTTTTTTTTATTATAAAAAAAAAAAGTTAAATGTACCCCATGATATTAATGGTGATGATTAAAGCCTCATTGGAGTCTGATTCCAGAGTGACTCTATAAGATAGTGTGCCAGCTTGTTTGATGATAAGAAATGTATTGGCTTGTTCGATAAGGTTTGTCTTGGTGGAAGGGCTTCTTGTCACAAGGTAAATTGAAATATTTTCATAATGGGGGAGAAAGCCTTGGTGTTTGCTGGTCTGCTATTAAAATTTGATAATTTGTTGACAAAACCAATATATTTTGCACTGAAATGATATACCTGACCCTGCTCTTTTTCTTTTTTTCAACAAACATCAATGAATTTAGTTTAAACAATGTGCAATATTAGAATTTCCATTTTACATACAGCTTCATCCAATGTCTTTTATGATGTAACTGTTTCACTAACTTTAAGTTTCAACTATTTCTGACAGTTGTGTTACGGATGATAAGTTATGGTTATGACTACCATTGGGCAGAGAAACATAGTCAACTTGATCAGAAGGTGTGCCCTTCATTTTCTGTTACAATAATTTCTTTATTGCCTGGATTGCCTGTTTCAACGTAGTCATTGCCAATTTCCTTTCTTTTTTTTTTTTTTTTCCAAAAGAGAAAGGGCAGTTTTGAATAGATGCCTAGTTTCAATTTTTTTTTTTCCTTCAATCTCTTAAGTCAAACTAATTTTCTTATGCCCCCTTGTTGCAATGTCTTCGTAAACACAGACTCATTCTTGCACATCTTTTGCACTTAGTACTCATAAAGTTCTTTTGTAGATTGACCCTCTTCAAGTATTGGCTATCTCCGTTATTTATGCCTGGCAAAGTTTGTGATAATTCTAAATGATACTTTCCCATACTCTTAGTTTTGTTTTTTATCTTACTGATGACTGCAGAAGCACATTGAGCAATGCAGAACCTGTTCATCTGGAAGGACATGCTATTACTCATTGCAGGTAAGAAACCCTTTTGCTCAAGTATAACACTCAACTGTTTTAGCCAATCAACTGTATAAATTCTTTTTTCCCTTTTAATTGCAGGAAAGAAGTGTTCCAAATGACTACTTTTCTTTTGCTGTGTACTTGTGTTACCTGGTTTATGCACCGCTCTACATTGCTGGGCCAATTATTAGCTTTAATGCATTTGCCTCACAGGTTGGTGGCTGTGTAGTTTATTGATAAAAAATGTTCATGTGTTTTTCTGACTCTAGTCTTGCAGAGCATGTGATTAATTTTTCCGTCCTCACTCTTTATCCCTGAATGCGATAAATTGTTCTCATGTTAAATTGTGCTGACAAGTTTTTCATTAATTAGCCTAAAAGCTTATCAAATCTGGCATATTGTCTGTATTACAAATCGGTAATACTAGAAACACTCTTCTTGGTTTCCACATCCTCCCATCTTCTTTGATCTTTGTTGCTTCTTCTTTCTCTGTTTTTCATTCTTGTTGACCTCCTGCAGACATTCAAAACTAAACATTGAATCCTTTCAAGTAATAAATGATGAGTTTCGCAGAGGACTGGTGACCGAACTGAAGCTTCTGCTTTGATTCTTGCTAATAATTAGTTCTCTGTTATTGCAGTTGGATAAACCTCAACTGAGTTATTCATCACGAGAAATAGCTTGGTATGGTTTGCGCTGGACTCTATGTCTGTTATTGATGGAACTCATGACGCATTTCTTTTACTACAACGCTTTTGCCATCAGGTTTCTGTCCTGGAAGTCACGGCTGCCTACCTATTCATATATTCAATGCACTGTTTGCTCTGATCTGCAACTGGCATAAATAATAATTCCTTCTTTTTTGTTTTTGTTTTTGTTTTTTTTTTTTTTTTACCTTGTTAGTGGTGTGTGGAAACACTTGTCTCCAACAAACAACTTTATCATTGGATACGGGGTAAGTGGATGTCTATCATATTAACTATTTCATTTTGCGGCATGTTGCTTTCAATCATGTCCAAAACAAGCATGTGGATCTTTTGTGTTCCCAGAAAGGGATATCTAAGTGTACGATAATGACGATATTGCATTCTTCATACCTAATTAGTCCAAATTTTATGTGTTATGTATTTTTAAGATCAATATTTCTTACACGCACCTCCTTCTAACAGGTTCTTAACTTCATGTGGCTCAAATTTTTCCTACTATGGCGATATTTTCGCTTCTGGTCATTGGTAGGTTGCTCACAAGTCCTATGGTACCCTGTGTTGCTTCATCTTTGATTTGATTTCTAAAGAATATCACTATGGTTTATTGGGTTTAAGTAATGTATTCTACTCTGTGCAAGATATTTGTCTGACAGTATTTTAATTCCATTTAGGTCAATGGAATTGAAGCTCCTGAAAATATGCCAAAATGCTTGAATAACTGTCACAATCTTGAAACTTTTTGGAAAAATTGGCATGCTTCCTATAACAAGTGGCTTGTTAGGTAGGAGGCTTCATCACCTATCTTTTGGTTGTCAGGCTCAATCCTTTTTCTCTTTAACTGAGTGTTTTTGGTCTATGCTTACAGGTATATGTATATTCCACTGGGAGGAAACAAAAGAAAGCTTCTCAATGTCTGGGTAGTCTTCACCTTCGTGGCCATATGGCATGATTTGGAGTGGTATTTGTGGATTCTTTAGAATTCTGCTTGTGGTTGCAGAAGTGATGTTTTCTCTTAGTCGTCATTATATATGTTAAGAACTTCTTACCTTTGTCTCCAGGAAGCTTCTTTCTTGGGCCTGGTTGACTTGTGCATTTTTCCTTCCAGAGATTCTTGTAAAATATGCGACTAAAACATATCAGGTGAGGTAATTTTCCGCAATATTAATCTGCAAGTATTCTAGATGAGTGGGAGAAAGAACTTAGCTATGGTCTTTGGTGAACCTAATTTGGAACCACCTTTCAGCCATATAACTAAAAGAATACAGCCTTGTATACATAAACTTTTTTAGCCAAGATGCTTGTTAGAATGCTGGATACCATAGAATAAAAATACAATGTATTGGGTATTTGGGCCCATAAAGTTTGTCAAGTTCTTTATTATAGAAAGAAAAAGAATAGAAGTTGAAATTCTCAAAATATTTTATATCATTTTCAGCATCTCATGGCACATTCTTTGTCTTCAGGTGCAAGGTTCTTTAGGAAAATCTCTTTTTCGTGAACTTAATGCAATTTCTGGAGCTGTTACCATTACTTTTCTCATGGTTAGTCCTCTTCTGATTCCTGAAGCACAACACTCTAGCATGATTGTCTTTTCTTGAGCTTCTATTAATGCGTTATTCGTTTAGAAGAATTGATTATTTTGCTATGGATTTGAGCCAATCTGATGACTAGAAAGTTAGGAGATAAAAGTTGGTAGATCTTAAAACTATTATGGCCTGTAGCTTCCAACCTTCAAAAAATATTTTTCTTTTCGTGCACGTAGTCTCCTCATTTATTCTTTGCTTTCGAGTCATTTGTCTATCTTTGAGTTTGGTTTTGTCTGGTATCTTTGGCAGCAATAAGTAGCAAATAACATTATTGTTAATTGTGATACCATAGGTAGCAAATCTCGTTGGATTCGTTATTGGACCCTCGGGCATTAATTGGTTGATTTCATCATTCTTCCGGAAACAAGGTCATTTTTTCTCCCATCTCTTTACCAAGCCTGATAAACTATACTGCCAAATTAAGACTGTATCTTCTGATGATGCAGGACTGGCTACACTTGGTGGCATGTTCATTACCTTCTACGTGGGGACAAAGGTAAAGCTTTGAATGGTTGGTTTTTTGGAACTCTTGAAGAATGATGTATATTAATAAAGATTCGATTGGTGCAGCTTATGTTCCACATTTCTGATGCTCAGCAACGTAGGCTTCAAATGAGATGATTTAAAGGTTTAACTTTCTGTCTTGCACTCTTGAACTGCCACTGTCAAATTACTCTGTTTCAGTAACAGTATATTTGGTCTTTTGAAGCATGTCAAGCTCTGAAGATTGCTGCAAGTCGAGCAGACCTTGAGACTAGAGCGTTGCATGTCCTTGTTATCAACAGATTGTAAGTAGATGAGGCTGCTAGAAGCAGAGCGTTTCCTTGCTTTCATCATCTGCAACATAATTTCCCTGTGCAAGTGTGTTTGGTGGGGATCATGTTTGCTCCGGGCCTAATAGTACGACTGCAATCTTAACTTATAGAGAGTGCCCACTTCCTACAATCAAGCCAATCTCATTTCTCAAGTTCTATTGGAACTTGAAGAACTGCTCTGAAAAAGCTGTCTTTTCAATTTGTTCCTCCCTTGAAGTTGTAAGATTAGTCGTGTTAGAATGAAGAAAGCAGTGTAGCAACTAAATCACTCGGATAGGAACGATGGTACTGTGTTTCTGTTTAGTTCATCATCCTATACCAACTCCAACTCAATTTAATTTTTGCCCCTACATATTCTAGTAACTCTAGAACAAAAAGACATAAGGAAGCTCCACAAAAGATCAGGAAACCACCACCTGCAGAAATGCAAGGATACCAACTCAATTTAATACCAGTAGGAAGATAACATCATGGTCTAAAATCTAAATGACAAAGATAAGCATGACTTAAACTAAAACAACTTCATTAAAATCTAGAATTTCAAAAATTCTAATATCAAATCATATTCCCTAAAATCAAGTTCATAAAACATTCCGAAGACTAACTACAATGAAATAGTCAAACAAATTCATAACCAACAAAGGGCATGTAAGTTTCCTGCACCAGGTTTTGTTTTATGAAAGTTATACTACATCTAGAAGATTTCAGGAAACACCAAGCAATTTGTTCAGGAAGAGGTTCAGCATCCTTCAAGAGTTCTGGATAAAGCCAATTACAAATGGACCATAATTCAAGCTTCAGCCAACTAGATACGGCGTTTTTTAGGCTTACGGCACCCATTGTGTGCTTGCCGAGTTTTATCCTCGATGAATATGATTGGAGTTTGATCTCCGCGACCAAACGTGTAGCCCTCCCTGAAAGCCATTATTGCTTGTCTTTTCCTTTTGAAATGTGTAAACCCGCTAACTTTGACCACTACAGTTTTAACTCCAGCTTTCTTAGCTTCACGGCCGACATATTCACAAGCAGCTTCAGCACTAATCCGAGAATCTTTTCCCCCCTTGTCAGGCACAGTTCCTGCTGAAGCGCACACTCCTGGCTTCTTCTGTCCTTTGGAATCTGTGATTGCTACGAAAGTGTTGTTGCGGAGCATTGTGATACGTAAAATGTCAGCATTTTGCTCACTCTGAGACTGTTGGAATCTTCCAAATCTGCCATTCCCACCTTCTTCCATAATTCCTCTTACAAAGTCCATTGGTCTGGAAGTTTCACCCTGGTCTACATTACCAAAATGGAAGAATCTCCGGAAACTCAGACAACATGGCGAAGACAGATTCTGCTTCACCTCCATACAAGCCAACTTTCTGCTCAAATTTTCCACATTTGAGGAGCAAAAACTTCCCCAGCTAGGCAATTTGCTCTTGTAAACTCTCTGAGCAGTCTGCAAACACGAAAATAAATAAATAAAACTCGCATAAACTCAGGAAAGTAACCATTGCTGACCTCCATTAAATTTTACAAATGAACTATATTCTTTGACTATAAATTCCATGACCATTTATTACATCAGTCTGGTTGACAAAAAAAAACAAGGCAAGCAATCAACATGATAGAAACTGCAGAAAAAAAAAAACGGACATGGTTGAAAAACTTAACGAGTGGGCACTCAGAAAAAACAGATGGATTTACTCAAACCGACAACTGTAAAAAATCAGTTTCTCAACAGGAAGTAGAAAAAAGATATGCAAGTGCTATAAGAAGCTTTTGTTGACAACTCAGCAATTAAAATCAATATCTTTTTCTCTCATAGAAACCCAAGCACCCACACCGAATCTGCATTTTCTGCCTCTTCAACCAAAGCAGTAGAAATTATTGTCTGATATTAAATTTAAGTGGAGATTCAAGCTCAAAATGCAGTCTAAGAGAGCATGAGCATATTATGAACTAAACTTACATAATTAGGCTGATGTATTCACCAATCAGTATGTATTGCCTTACATTTCATAACACCTTACATTTCATTATTAACAAAAGATCATTGCCATAAGAAGATATATTTCATAATAGGCGCTGGTCCCACTTACCATTAATCTAGTAATATTGCAAATTTTATCATTCACGGTATACTTATATTACACCCCATTGTCTGTATGGCCACATCTTGTGCGGCAAATGGTGAATGATAGCCGAGACCTTGAATCCACCAGACAGGAGGTTCCAATTTTATAATCTGATCAATAAGAATAGTTTTACATTCAAGGCTGCATATATCAGTATCAGTTTAATTGTTTTTGTTATGAACAACAATCTTATATTACATTTCAAATAAATCTTTACAATATTACATGGTAAGTCATTTTTGTATCTAGTCGCTTTAGCTGTTGCATATTTGATGCTAATCCTCTACTTTCTTAATCCTACATAGATTAATCTGTGCGTCCCCCTTAATGTGTTGAAAAAACAAACGGATACACATCCCAGCCGAGCAGCACCAAACGAAAAAACATATATAGATTGAGACCACAGATCGAACAATAGCACACAAGTATCACATATACAATGATATCTCTACATATACATGTTTCAGCTAAGAGTTCGAGGTCGCATTCTCATTTAACATCTGCCACTTAGAAATAAACTTTAGGAAAAATGTGAGGTGTCACTTACAAATACAACAATCCGAATACAGAGAAATGAAACCTGTAATATTCAGCTCTATTAGGGTTTAGGGTTTAACAAAATGCCTTAGAATATTACAGAGAAACTGACACCCAAAAAAAAAAAAAAAAACCCAAACTTTTCATCGGGAATTAGGGACCGGAATATCAATATATATCGGAGGCAGAGCGCAGATGCACAAGTTACCATAAAAACAGATATAAATTGAAGAAAGTAATTGATAGAGGGTTGAATCGATTGATTGAAGGAAACATACCTGCATCCAACCATCTCCGGCGAGACTCCCGGTTGTTAAAGCTCGTCTGGCTACAGAATCAGCAGCAGCAGCAGCAGGAATGACCGGAGAGGAGGAGGGTGCCGATCTAGCGAGGTTTTTCCACAGACCGGTGGCAAAAGTTGCCCTATTCCGGATTGTTCCGGCCATCTCTGTTCTTTCTTTCTTTCTTTCCTAGGGATTTAGAAAGAGTGGAAAGTTATTAGTATCGCGGAGTTATTATTATTCGTGTCGTGGCAAGAAAAAAAAAAACTCAAAAAGTGATAACTTTTTCAGGGTGTTCTTACTTTAAACTAACGAGAATGAAATACTCACGACAGTTATTTTGAATTATAGGTTAAAATCTCTATGGATTAAAGGTTAAAACTACTTCACTTATTTTACAATCTTTCTTCAAGAATTGCTCTGAAAATGCTGTCTTTTCTGTTTGTTCTACTCTTATTAAAAGTTGTATTCCTAAATCACTCTTATGTTTTGTTTAGTTTTTCATCTTTATACCAAGCTCCATTTGATTTTTTTTTTTTCCTTTTTTTGTTGCCAATTCCAATACTTAAGCTGTAGCCTGTAGCTACGAGCAACCACTATATATATATATATATATATATATATATATATATATATATATAATAAGAAAGAAACGAGGAAACGGTGGTCTTAAAAGTTACGAAACTACAGTTGTTCAAAACGTTGAAGAGTACAACATGAGAATGAGATTACCACACAAATTGTTATAACTACAGGAGAATGCTCCGTCCAAGCCTACAAGTTGAATCGCGAACAAATACATATGTACAATCAACATTTGGGGGAGAGGGAACTAGCTATTCTAGTCACTCGTAGAACAAAAAGAGAAACGGAAGCTCCACAAAAGATCAGGAAACCACCACCTGCAGAAATGCAAGGACTTCAAGTAGTCAAATTTGGAAATCATCTAAAATGAGTCCAACCAAAAATGATACTAGTAGGAAGATAAAAGCATGGTCTATTGAAGAAAAATGAATGGGGAAGAATGCAAAAAAAAAAAAAAAGACAACAGAGTGCTAATGAACAAGATATTATTAGCATAGAGAAATCTTGGATCAATTCCCATATTAAGAGATGACACCTGATAGACATTGGTTTAAAGCTACACATTATCTCACCATTATAAGCCACAACTGGATCCCCATCCTTTTGAATCCTTCAAACAATAATATTGATCATCATTTCTTCTTCTTAGCGCTGCTAGGCTTTGATTTCTTGTTACTACTTTGTTTTTCATTTTTCTCAGTTGCGTCCTGTTGTCAAAAAAGCAAAAGGCAATCAGAAACATATAGAAAGCAAAAAACTTTACGAAACAAAATGATAGAAACTACAACATGGACAAACTATGAATTAACTTTTTATTAAAACAATTAAAAAAAAAAAAAGAGTAAACTGCGAAGGGACATAATATAATGACTTTGTCCGGAAAAATACAAGATGATACGGGTGGAAACACTGCACATAATTACCGGCGCTGTACTTGTCTAATGGCGGAAAGGTAGAATTTGAACAACTGATAGAATCAGGACACATTTCTAAAGTTCTAAAGATGTATCTATAGCATATAGATCACATACTACAGTCAAACAACAGATGACAGCATTCAGATGCTACCAAAGGAATATCAGCAAAGCGTCAAACATGGAGATCCAGGTTCACCAGGGTTTTCGGAGCTTTATGTTCCAAAGCAGACAACTCCAGATAAAAGCAGTGACTGCTTTGAGCCCATAAAGAGAGTTGGCTGCCTTAGGTGGCCCGACACCCTGGTTTTCAGAGAGGCTCGCTCAATTTTCCTCTCAAGCTTGACTAATGGTTTTGGAGATCCAAGAATGCATTTAGTTTCCTGTGAGCCAGTTGCATAAGATAAAATGTCACCAACCGAACTAAACTCCTCCGACTTCCACAACCACAAAACCCCAGTGGAAGACTCTTGTCATAAAGTATGCTAGCTTGCTAAACAACATGAACCATGATGACCTCAGATGGAGGCAACAAATGATGGTTGTACTTGGTAAAAATCCTTTACTTCACCAATTGATCTCAACACGAGACCAAGTTAAAAAGTTCAGGAAATGCATGGATTACATTGCGCTGACGTTGCGAAGAATTATGATCACTAGAAAGCGATTCAACTACAGTATTTTAAACACAAGTGACACTCCAAAATATGATTAGAAGGCTCCTAGGGGGAAAATAATCAATTTCAGTTGTTTCATTATCATATCACGCAATTCAACTAGACGGTTATACAAATACATCTCAAAGAGTAAGTGTAACAGCAAACAAACAAGACTTTTTCCTATATGTGGGGTCGGCTATATGGATCATCCGTAAGTGTAACAGCAAGGAAGGAAAAACAATACAAACTCACATTACGTCTTCACTGTGAAAAGGGAATACAATACATAAAGTAGATTCATGTTTACCACAGGATTATACACCCAAAGATTCTAAAAGTTGCAGTGACACACAATTCATCTCACAAAAGGGCAATAGAACAGAGTATGAAGTCAAGTGGTACCTTTCGCTTCACCGGTGCTGATGAGTTGGCAACTGGTTTGAAGAATGATTCTAGCCTGTAAAAGGGAGGGAAGTCAATAATTACCTTGAAGGAAAAAAATGATGGTAATATCAGTTTATATCATTAAACAAATAATACCTCCCCTGTGAAGACTTGTTTTTTGCAGCCTTAATCTTTTCAATTGACTGCATAAGAAGTTGATAATTCACTTAATAAAACCGTTTGACACAGAAAATACACTAAAATTTAAGCATCCAAAATTAATCATAGGCATACCTTTGTGACTCTATCAATATTGAATCCATTTTCTTTAACCAGGAAATTTATCAGCCCCTGAAAATGCAGAGGCAATCTTACAAATCCCGTGAATGACAAAACAAATAAATTCAACAAAAAGTATTGAAAGAGAAGATTAACTCACTTCCTCATCTGGTGCAGTCCACTTCAAATCAAGTTGGTCATCATCTGTAACCACTTCCGGTTCTTTGAAGAGTTGCCTAGCATCTGAAAAGGGCCAATCTTCAGGTATTTGGTACCTGCAGAAAAACTTAGGTTAAATCCAGCTGGATTTCAAAGCCGGTCAAACTTTAGGAGGGAAAAGGAATTTAGTAAAGCAGCTAACCAGAACCATAACAAAGACAATAGTCATATTTTCCTGCTTTCTCAGCTAACAACTTTTGGTAAGAGGAGTTGGAACTGTGTTCAACACTTTTTTTTTTGGTTTGCCACAAGATGGAAGTTACATTCAACTGAGGTTACTACTTTCACTAGACACAAACTTGACCATGTTCAAACTTATGCCAATGAAAGTGATTCTGAAACTTAGTTAAAATTGTCAACAGCATCTCATATTTCCACAGCTTTTATCAATAGAACATGATCAGATTTCAAACCCAGCAAAACATAAAACTTTATATTAGCAGAACCTGGAGAAAACAGGCCACTTAAACCTTCCTATAGGTATACTGCAATAATAATGGAAAAATGTCATCCATGTAAAACTCAATAATTCTGCTGATATTCTCCGTTTTAAAATTCATGATGACAACTATGGAAATGAACAAACTTGAACGGTAACATGCAAAAGGGCGCCCCATGATTAAGTCTGCTACACCGCTACCCAGTTTGCATTGTACCATCAGAGATACATATATGTGGATGAGAAAAGGCAGGAAAAACGCAAAACTTTTGTTTAGTTTCTTTGATGCACTGTTTTATTTGATCAAGAAGGTTATTTAAAACTATTCTAAATCAGACTGTCTCTTATAAATAAAAAATACATTAAAAAACAATCAAGCAGGATGAAGAGTACCTTTCTCTGTTTATATTCTCCAAGATGTTCTCTATTAAGCCATGCTGGCGAATGAGCTTCAGAGCAGTCTGGCCCCCAATACCTGATTTACACAGAAATACACAAAGGTAATCAGAAAGTTATAAAATAGACAGCCCAAACAGTCACATAATACACAATAAATGACAGGCCACCATGTTAAAATATCTAAAGAAAAATAATAAAATTTCTATAGCCTGGCTAACATAGGCAACAAATAAACATATGAAAATGTGATAAATACTAGAATAGTATCTGGATAAGGCATGACAGATAGGACAAAATCTAATCTGATGAACACAAATTTTAAAAACTCACATTAGCACAGAAAGAATTTCAAGCGGACCTGAGTTTATGGATAATCACTAATTGTTGCAAATCAATAAGAGCACAACCAACCACAAGGGCACCTCAATGCATAACTTGACCTGATACAGTAGCATGTTTTACACAAAAAAAAAAAGAAAAAAAAAGAGCATGTCCAATTTATTTTCCAAGATGTTTTTCATCAAAGAATCACAGCAACATGGGCTACAGGACAAATCATTTCTTTCCAGATATGACTTTCTACTAATTTTAACATTCAGCAGCTTCGGCAACAATAGAAAAAAGGAGATTCACGAACCTCGAATACTATCACAATAATCGCAGCCACAGAGAATGCACAAGTCAATAAACTGATCCATCGTCAGGTTCAACTCCTCCAAAACCTGCATTCCAATTAGAATCAGGAAATAATAGAAATTGAAGCTTTACTTTGTTAGACATAAGATTTCATACCTTGGAAACTTCAATTTCCATCACTGGGATCTTTTTGGAGCTGGGATCCATTAAATGACGAAGAAATCTCGGAGCTCCAAAAGTCAGAGAATCCATGTCTTCAGAGGCCACAGCATAAACCTGACAGAGGAGTGGCATTAACTTAAAACAACCCAATTAAAATTCACTTAATACAGATCACTATACTTTGTCCACATCAAATGTAAGCATGCACATCTTTGGATGAATTCATCACTAAAGATCAATTACCCAAAGATATTATAGTAGCGAAGTTTGGAAAAAACTGAGATACACACCTTTCCTGATTTGCAAAGTGCAGCACACTGAGCCTCGGCTTCTGAAGGAGCCTGCCAGAGAACCAACGAATATTAGATTAACATAGTAACGTGCACAAATCCTCACATTGTTTTCAAATGGAAATCATGGCCGGGCAAAATAAATATCATCTTTAGCAAAGAGATTAGCAACATAATGATGATAATGCTTTAGCTGTGAGATGCTAAAATTATTTGGTTCACCTCAATGACTGGCACTCCCATAAGTCCAAGAAGTTTTTTGCAGTCATCATTGTGTTGCTTAGTGACCTTCACAGTTCTCTTGCTGAATTTCTCAATCTCCTCCTTATTTCCAGCCTGTAGAAATGAAAGCAGATGATTGCTTGTTAAATACCTAGACTCACATATAGGGGTTCATAAAGAAAAGTGAAACAAAGTTTTAGTTATCCTTTCCAACCTTAATAGCTTCATCAAGATCTTCTGTTGCATCCGCCCTCTTTGAGTAACTGCAAACAGAAATTTCACGTTCCAATCTCAAGGTTTATTTCTCAACTTCCAGAAGAGAAGCATTTAAAGAAATTCCAAAAGAAAACCGTAAGTACCGTTTAGCAAGTTCTTGTCTTTTCAAATCTGGAGGCTTCCCATCGAACACATAGCTGAAACACAAAGGAAAAGGCAAAATTTTAGCACGGACCACAAGCTTTTCACCAAATGAAAATGGAGACAAAAGCAACAAAAATGCAGAGAGTAACGAGTTACACTGGCTTAATTCCAGCTTCTAAAAGCCTAATCGTCCGGGTGAACATTCCTTGCAAATGGCTGCAAAAGAACACATAAAACAAAATACTTAGCTGATAAGACAAAAACAAATAGGCAGATATAGACTTACATATGCATAAAGAAACCATTTTTCCGACATTCTCCTTTAGAATATCATTGAATTGTTACATCCTGTGAAAGTATAGACATTCTGGACTAATTAAATATCCCCAGAAACAAACATCAGTTTTACCTAGTAACTTCGCCTGCTTCATTAGTGAGCATCTCAGTGCCGCTTCGTCCAACCACAATCTAACATTCCACCCAAAAGAAAATCGAAAATGCAAAACAAAATTCACATTGTCAAAGACACTAAAGAAAAACCCAAAAAAAAAAAAAATAACGGGGAAAATGATGCAAGATTACTAACAAGAAACTGGTAAATGCTCATGCTGGCATCAATGGCGATTTTCCTGCCGAAATAGCTCTCAAATTTCTGCTCTTTCAAGGATTTGGGAGCATTGTCCGCTAAAAGCTTCGTTAAACCCTGTCAGTTCCAATTGAAGGAAAAAATCAATCAGAGAAATTCAAAAACCTAACTAGACTAACTAAATCGCAGGGAAATTATTTCATAGTGAAATTGAATTCGAATTGACAGTATTTGCATACCTTGATACCCATTGGATAGGGAATAGCAGAGAGTGAAGTTAATTTCAGAAAAAAAGAGTAGGGTTTTTACTTTTTAGCAGTGGGTTCTCTTTCTTCTTCAGATTTCCCGCCTATTTAGGCATTTTTTAGAACCCGGAGTTTCTTCGGGATATAAATTCCCGCCGTCGCCGGTTTTATGGGTCAAATAAGCCAGCCCGTCAGACAGGATCTCTTCCTGGCCTGCTTCTACGATCGAGTTTTGAATTTAGTTCGACCCAAATAAGCACTCAAGATAAACCCGAATATTTAGCCCAACATCTTCCTGACCAAATGACGTTCAACGATAATTTCTTGGCCAGTTGTCTCACCGTCGAGGTACCTATAATTCGGCGAGAGAGATTAATCACTATTGACAACGGTGGACACGCTACAAATATGAAGAAATAATAATAACAATAATAATAATAATTTTATTTTCGATTTCTTTACTTCGTTACCATCTTTTTTAGATCTTAACCAACCGGAGGTAGTTCTAAACATTATTTAGATATTTGATAAGACAAAAATAATTTTATGTCGGAACCAGGATAAAGTTAGCATTTGATACCACCCCAATATTATTCCAATTATTAGTAAACTAAATTAAATTAGCAATATATTTGAAAGGTTGATTAGCGTCGATATTATAAAAACTAAAGAGTGGATGAACTCGAAAGAACACATTAAATTTAAAAAGTTAACGACTTAAGTAGGGGGTTCGAATGCTTGGGTTTGTAAGGGTTGTATTAATCACATTTTAAGTGAATCTCCTGAAATGGATTTTTCTTTTCTTTTTTATAAAAAGATTAATTTAACAACTTTTAACAACTTTTATAAATTAGTTATTCATGACTTACATTAAGATTTGGAAAGAGTATAGTTTAATACTAATTGGATAGTATAATTCTCAGATGAAAAAAAATACGATGATCGCGGTTTTATTTTGGCTAATACCTAGTTCACAGGTCACATTTTTAACAGCCCCGTTTATTAAAATGCCAAAATTCTTAAACTTAGATTAAAATCATGTCATCACCATACAAAAATCATAGTGTATTAGCTTTTTCCCCTTTATTGTATCGAGAAAATCATTAATTATTTTGAAGAATATATAAATTGTTAAAATACAATGTTGATTTCGGCCTTTATTATTGTACATTTGTACCAACAACAGAAATACATCAATTATTTTAAGGAGGATGTAGTTTGTTAAGGTGATTTTAGATTTACTTATTAGGTGACATAACCTACTTAATTTTTTCAATTTTATCCCTATTGATGATGTCAATCTCCTTCCCATTACTAATTAATTATGAATAAAAACAAAAAATGGGAAAAACTTACTACTTAATTAGGAATGCAAGAAAAAAAAAGAGGGTGAAATTCAACGTAACAAATCCTTTGTTCCTTAGTACGAGTGCAATTTAAAAAATTATTGAGTACAATTGTTATAAAATAGTTTTTAGTGTAGCAAGTACTAGCACTCCATATTTTAATGATATAATTCCTCGTAGAAATTATATCTCTTCCTCAAAAATTATTACTTTATCCCTATTATTATTGTGTCTAGTTGCACAATATAACTCCTCGTATAAATTATATCTCTTCTCAAAAATTATTACTTTATCCTTATTATTGTGTCTGACTGCACAATCCTACGTGATAATTTACTACGTGGTAATTTACTGTGCATTTTGTGAAGTTGTTTCTATTTCCAAATACTTGTGGCCTATAATTTGGGAGTAGAAAATTAATGCATATTCATGGAACCCAGTTGGAAAAAAGAAAAACAAAAATTAATGTTTGATCCAGACATGTAGTAGTTTCAGATTCACAAAAGAAAAGAGCAAAATTTGGAAAAATCAAATATTAGCATGGTCGTACCAGCAACTGATTCCTGGGTAGGGAGTACTTTTTATTCAAATATAATCTTTGGTCGAAGTGCTACTACAAGCAAAAGTAGTACAAAACCAAAATGAGGAAATCAGAATTCTACTACAAACGAAACTTATTTATTTCAATCGATACATATATGGCGACTAGACGAAAAAGGCCGTGATGGAGTAGAGAGATATATATAATAGTGATGGATGAGCAGTCATTGGGTTGTACTAAAATGAATCTCAACAGTTGCGAGTGCAGAAGCAGCGGCGCCGGAATCCGCGGCACCAACCGTCGGTGAAGCCTTCGTTCCGGCAGACAAGTCCACAGTTGTGGTCGCTCACGCAGCTTCCCCTAAAATGGTGGCTCTGCGACTCACAAGTCCTCGCCATCACCACCGTCTTCCCGCCTTCTTCATCTGCAGCCCAAATATACATTTTTCATTAACAAAATCCAAAATTCAAACTGGATAATAATTTCACTGAAATATGATATATAGAGAGAGCTCTCAACATAATTCATGAGTTATGATCATTCTATTTTAGAAAAATAAAAATAATTTGTCTCGTTATGCTCGTTCGTTGTACACATAATTCACAATTCACATTGCAATTTATAAATTATACTAAAAATTAATACATTTCAAAAGCAGTACACTCCAAAAAATAATTTCAAAAGCAGCACACTCCAAATATTAATCATAATATGGACTAATTTTTTTAGAGTCCAACAAAAGAGGCAATTTTTTGTTGGACAAAAGAATGCTAATTAGTGCATACAAGTCTGTCTTTTCCAATTTCAACAAGTCGCATACGTTCGGTCCCGAAAAGAGAAGAAAGAAAATATGTGTAATGTAATACTATGTCTAGGACATAATTGGTAAACCTAAACAAAATCATTTTGTCGGAAAAAAAATAAATAAAAATTCGAACCACAGGAAAGAGGGAAGACTTACTGGAAGCCAAGAAGACGAGGAACATAAGAAGAATAAGACCAAAGCAACGCTTCATTTGCATGGTCTCCCCAAAACTCAGAAATTTAATATTCAGGATCTAATTTAGAAAGAAAAGTTGGATTTTGGCGTTTATTTTAGTATCTTTTTGCTGAAAAGATTGATATTTGGAGCAAACTTAAATAGTAACGATTCTGCTTGCAAGATGGTGGTTTCTGGGTGGGAACGAGGCGCGCGAGTGCGTAGGAAGCAAGTTACAGGTGGCGACATTTGTACATGCAGCAAGACACGTACGTTTCATATGCAACTTTCAACTTTCTAACTGTTGTCCTGATTTCTCCAATAATCTTCTTATCCTGCCCAAATTGAATTATTAGGTGATTTATATTTTTATTACCTGAGGTCATTTATTCGGGATACAATGGTTAGTGAAAGTTGAAGCATATAGCTAGAATCCTTGGAATAAATATAATACTAATAATATTCGCTCCAACAAGATATATAAATTTTGCGTGGTATCTAATTTTTTTTAGTTGGGTTATGGAAGCTTGTCACCAAGTAGAAACTAAAGTATACAATCTCATGTTAATTTTCGCACCGAGCCTATAATGTCGACGGAATGATGTGCTGTACTACTATGGAGGAAAAAATGAAAAAATAATAATATAACAATTCATTTTGACTTTCGTCGACTTTTTAAAAAAGGTGAGTAAGTCGACGAATTTTTTTTTTTTTTTGGGACAGAAAAATAAGATGCATCTTGTCACTATGAAAATAAAAGCAAACTTGAATATTTGCGGTTGACTTGGTGCCAAACTGCCAATTGATTTATGTGCGAGTCTAGGGCTCACTAATGCAAGGTTCCGCATGCTTCACATCAATGTTTCCCAGTCGAGTAACTAGAATGTGCTAATAGACTCTTGTATATATGATTTTTGGAAAAAAAAAAAAAGAAAAATCTCTAAGCGAAAGAGTTACTATATATGTGCAAAGGGATTTTGCTGAGTGAAAAAGACTCATTTATTGTTAATTTTAAACAAAATATTCGAATCTGGACAGGTATGAAATAGTCTTAAATCATTTTATTAGTCGTGTCACAACTAATCTACCACGTTTTAATAATGAACATCCTGCTATGTTTGGATCATTTTAGTCTATACATGTTTGTTGGAAACGTAAAAAATATATTGGGAATGTCACTTGATATATTATTCAAAAAGTAGATAATTTTGATAAAAACTGAAAAATAATTTTTTAAAAAAAATAAAGCAAGCGTTAGCCTTTCTTTTTAAGGTAATCGACTAAAACATAGGGAAAATATAGCACGAAGATCCTCTACAGTCTTGCTCCGGTAGTATAGAAATGTACAATTTGGGGAGCATTGAAAAAAATAAATTGTTAACCTAGCTCCTATCTACATCTCGTAAATGTGTGCGCAAAACACACATTGGCATGAAAAAGTTTATGAATCCCCCTCAATTTTGTATCCCTTAGGCGCTAACATTGGCCTTTTCTTCATGCTCGCTACCTCGCTTCATGATTCTTTTCCGCTTTTCATTTTTATTTTCTTTTTGGCCGTTCCTGATTCGCCAAAAAGAATTTGTGAGTTTGATGCAATTAATATATACAAGCAGGAGCTCAGACAGTTTAACTGACGAAGGTTTCTCCATTGATTGGGATTTAGGGAATATTGGAATCTTGTCACTGTCAACATAGATAGATGACTAGTACTTTTGATAAGGTTAATTTCTTTTAGCTGCCAAAGTAAAATAATTTGATCATAGCTAAAGGAAAGAAAAGAAAATGAACGAAACAATTTGGAGTTTACTGAGAGGGAAGTTCTTCATCATGATTATGAGACGCTTTAAATTTCTATAATTAATTCATAATAATGTTGAATCGATCAATTTTGATCTATAGTATGTTGCGACGCCAGGAAGGAGAGGACACCATCCATTAACATTCTCGAATAATCACCAAAGCCACCTTACATTCGATTAGACCTTGCAGTATTGGACAAGAAAGAAAAATCCACAAAAATAATGCCAGGCCAGGATTAAATTAAATCTGCATGAAAACCACATTTGAAATAAACCTAATTTTTCCTTATGGAGTCATTAATACCTACACAATCAAACGAAGGAAAAAAGAAAAACAAAGAATTTTACTTGGTGGCTAGTAATTATAGTGTAGTGCCCACAGCCCATATGATATGTATGTATATTCCCAATTCTTTCCCCAACACAAATATGGCCTAGTGTGAAATTGACCATCGGAATTTAGCTCATCTGCCAACCTCATTGTATTCATGAACATGATGGAATCACGAAAATTAATTGACAGAGAAAAAAACACACAATAAAATAGACCAGGGGGAAACAAATTGATGATGCTAAAACAAGATTTTGGCGATCAATTTTATGCATCTATACCACCTCGAACGTCATCTACAAAGTTAGCAAGCTATATTTCGATCCCTTTCGTGGCTTACTATAAGTTATAATTGTTCACTTTCATAACTCCACTCAAATATACCCCCAATCGTCGATCAAATATTCTTTTCTCTTTAAAACAAACATATAAACGGAAAACTCACTTGCAGTTAGGAACTAACTGCAAAGTGCTTAGTATTTCTCCGATTCTTAACAACCATGGTAAGTCCATTTTAAGTGTACATTATATGTTATTCGTCACGAATCATTTTTTATATATGATCTCGCTAATTTCATCTCATACTTCTAAATACAGGATGAATCTGCGGTGAATACGTCCAACATGGATGGCAAAGGTGGATTTAGGGCTGCATCCTTCGTATTCGGTAATAATTTTGAAAACGAAATTTGTAGATACGAATATCATTATTGTAACGATCCCTAATGTTGGCGTGTTACGTATGCAACATATATGTGCAGCCTTGGTTTCATTGGAGAACATGGGTTTCGTAGCGAACATGGTGAATTTGGTGTTGTACTTTCAAATCCAATTGTATTTCCATGTGTCCGCAGCAGCCAACACGGTCACCAATCTGATGGGCTCGACGTTCTTGCTCACCATCATCGGTGCCTTCATTTCGGACACTTACATAAACCGATTCAAGACGACTCTTTATTTTGGTATACTTGAGATTGTGGTACGTGTATACAATCAAAGTCAACTAGACTGTAGTCATTCTTACTTACGTACATTTAGCTGATCGATGATCCCTTATTTGTAATTTGTAGGCTTTGGTGCTGATGACCATTCAAGCTCGATACAAAGATTTAGAGCCAAACCCATGCCCAAAATCAAGTTGTCTATCGGGTGGAATAGCTATAATGTTTTACGCATCACTGGCTTTGCTAGCCATGGGCTCAGGTGGGGTTAGGGGTGCTCTTCCGGCACTTGGTGCGGACCAATTTAACCAGAAAGACCCAAAGGAATCCAAAGCCATTGCGACTTACTTTAATTTCTTACTGCTTAGTACAACGTTGGGTGCCACAATTGGAGTGACGGTTATTGTTTGGGTGGCCAATAATAAGCATTGGTGGCCTGGTTTCCTCATTTCTCTTCTTGCTAATTTTGTTGGATTGGTTATTCTTGCCTTTGGCAGCCGTTTTTACCGGATTCACCTCCCAGGAGACAGCCCTCTCTTAAGAGTTGTACAGGTAAAAATAAAAATTTCGTGTTTATATATCCCCATAATATGGTAATTTATGATAGTTTTATGAGGAAGACTTGGGTTCGACTAAATTTAATTTCTATATCTTAACTAGGTCATAGTTGTGGCAATGAAAAACTGGAGGTTGCCGGTACCAAAAGATGCCGGCCAACTTTACGAGCTTTCTGAGAAAGAAGTTTTAGCCTCATCCAAGGATCCAAGGATTCAGCACACTGACCAATTCAGGTAAGATTAGTAAATTATTAAATCCCTCTTAGATTAGACTAATTTCTTATTCTTTTTGTGTTCTACTTGTGAGTCATTATCAAAATTCAAAATGCTCATAGATATCGACTGCAAGTGATAAGTATCATCCAAATACCACGTCATCTAATTATTTAAAAATAAATAAATGTATAAATGTGAGACAGATGATCCGTTCGTATTCGCGATTATGCATACAAAATCAATTAATGATATAAACTAATAAAATTCTAACATGTTGTTTGATTTGTTTAACAAAAACATTATTAGGTGGCTTGACAAAGCGGCAATTGTAAGAAACAATAACGCAGAACCAACTCCATGGACAGTATGCACCGTGACACAAGTCGAAGAAGTTAAGGTTCTAGCAAGAATGTTTCCAATCATAGCCAGCACAATCATCTTAAACACTTGCATGGCCCAACTTCAAACCTTCTCGGTCACACAAGGCTACTTCATGGACCGTTACATCCGTAAATTCCAAGTCCCCGCATCATCCATCCCCGTGATACCACTAATTTTCATGAGCATTTTAATCCCGATTTACGAATACGCATTCGTCCCATTCGCCCGAAAATACACCAAACACCCGTCTGGGATCAGCCAACTCCAACGTGTGGGAGTCGGGCTGGTCCTCTCGGTCGTGTCCATGGCCGTGGCCGGTTTCATTGAAGTCAAGAGGAAGAACCACGACACGAAATACGGGAAGCCAATGAGCGTGTTTTGGTTATCATTCCAATATGGCATTTTTGGGATCGCGGACATGTTTTCGCTAGTCGGATTGCTCGAATTCTTCTACAAGGAAGCGCCACTCGGGATGAGGTCGCTCTCCACATCGTTTACATGGCTATCACTATCTTTTGGGTACTTCTTGAGCAGCATCTTCGTGGATGTTATCAATTCAATCACTAAGAGAACTTCCCATGACAAAAGAGGATGGTTAGAAGCACAACTACTAGATGAAAACCATTTGGAGTATTTCTTTTGGTTCTTGGCTATTCTTAGCCTCCTTAATTTCTTCAATTATCTGTATTGGGCTTCATGGTACAAGTTCAAAAAGGTTGCTGATCAAAACCCGAGTGACATAAATGATGATGCTCGGGTCCAGCAACAGGCAGAAGAATCATTGGCAAGTGGTACTGAAACGTCAAGACAGGCCCTACTTGAAGCCCCAAAGGTGTCCACTAATACTAATGATGGTGACGAGAATGCCAATGGTAAACATGATAATGGAAATTAGAAGAGCATGGGCATGTTTAAGCATTGTGGGGATTCTTTTTTCTTTTTTCTCAATTTCTCTAGCTAAATTGGGCTGCTGCTGCTGCTTTTTTTTTTTTTTTTCCCTCCCCCTTTTGGGGTCTCTATATAATTGTAGTTCTCATGTCAGTAGCTTAAATGACCTTACTTTTGTTAGGACTATCAAATCATCAATCGAGTTTTAAGAAATTGTAACTGTTTTTCCCCCATTTGTATCGAGTCTGGCAGTAATGCATTGAAAAAAAGTCATCACTTTTTTATATTTTGATCAGATCAAACTGGTTGGATGAAGAGAGTACTTCTTTCCTTTAAAGAAAATATTGTAGTACAATTTAACAAAATAAAATGTCACTTGTGTTCTTCATGGGGTGATGCATATGACCTTGAATAATCCAAAATGGGGCGATGTATAATGTATTGTTACATCAAATATGATTTTAAAAAAACGATTCACCAATGTGTATAACTATCTTGCACCTGAAACTAAAAAGTAATATCCATTTCGATTCCACATTTCAAATTAAACACATTGTAAATTAAAATAAAATTTAAAACAAATCAAATGTCTTACCGGAAAGAGTAATTTATAAAGTAGTATAAAATGTTTTTCTTTAAAAAAAAAAAAATCCAATCTTTGAGACAGAGGATATTTGCCTATTTGATACAAGAAGTCAAATTTTAACCGGCTAATATATAAATAACCCTGACCGTACTACTATCGAACGTGTGATAAGTGGTAGTTGGTCAACTCTCCGATGGCTATGGCTGGTGGTGCTGGCGGATCATCGTCGGAGGAGTTCGTATACAGAATTAGCACGGCGGAGGAGTGGGAATCACTGCAGAAAGAGGGCAGCACACTCGGCGGAGAACTCGACAGAACCACCGGCTGCATTCATCTCAGCAACCTCAACCAGGTATCATCCATTTGGTTTCTCCTCTATCCAATCTGTGACCGCCGCCGGCCGTTTACTTGTTAATTTTTGATAATGTTATCCAAGAATTGTTCGTCTTTTCCTTGCCATATCTATCTCTAATTCTTTCTGTACGAATTATCTTGTTAAACCGACATTGCAATTTGAAGTAGGAATTAGCGATGTATTGTTATTTGGATTTTATTCGATGTTCTGCCAAAATTCATGTTTCTCTTCACAATTTGCTTTTCAATGGCGCTGCTGTCTCATTTCAGCAATTTGATGCAAGTGATTATTCTCAGGGTTTTAGTCAAAATTAGCCATCAGATCAGCAGAATATTATGGCAAAACTAATCAAAACAATGTATTGACTTATTAGGTAACAACAATTTATGGCAAAACATCAAATGGGAAACACATTCTTTGAGCTAGGGATGATTACATTTTCGTCATCTTTGCATGATAAACACAATCTAACAATTGGGTAAAACTGTTTCAAAATCGAATCTGCTGGTAAACAATCTTGAATTTTTATATGCTTGCACCAGTACCATCAGAATATCATTTATTGACTTGGGAGGTAGGTTAACCGATGATTAAAACTGACAGTATCTTGAAAGGAAAGACAGACATGAAGCTAAGGAGCCTGATCGAATGTCGATCTGCTCAGAGAATTGTGCACATTCCACTGCCGAAATCATAAGTGTCGTACCCGGTGACAATCACTTGGCATTTTTTGCAACAATGTGGAAGGGGAGGCTCTGGTTTAGGATCTGGACTAGGAGCCGGTTTAGTAGCAGGTGTCGGTTCTGGTTGTTCAGGGGGTCCGACACTGATCATTTCTGCATTTTTTCCTGTCTTCCGGACTTTTGTTGTCACGCACACAGGATCAACATCACCTATGACTATTAGCATCCCTGTCTGAACATCCACTGACACCTGATCAACCCCTATATAATATAAAACTACCATTAGTATGAACACAGATTTCACAAACTATTCCTATAATACTAGCCTTAGTATAAACACAGATTTCATAAACTATTCATGATCATTATGAAGAAACTATCTTCTAGTTTCGACTTGAAAAGCATGAACCACGATACTTAAATTTGTGAGTGTGTGTGTGTGTACGTGTGTGTGCGTCAAAGGCGATAAAAGGCCAGGAATAGCTTACATACCCTCAAGTTTGGCCACTGCTTTTAGGACTTGAGTCTTACATTTGTTGCAGTTGATGCTCACTTTCAGCTCAATTTTCTGATGTGTGCAAACGTTTCAAAACAAAAATGATTCAAACATGATATTATTAGATGTAAATGATGCACAATATTGATAATGTGGCACAAAAATGTTAGTTAGGGGGAATATATAGGTGTATGTACCTTCATGGCTGATTAGGAGACTAGCAACAAAGCTAGGTACTTGGTAATGTCTATATGGATTGTTATTCTGCTACTAGTTTATATACAGTTACGTAGATGAGAAAAATGAGGCACAACGGGAGGATGGAGGACTCAAGGACAAAAGAAAACATAAAAGAAAGACTAGCAGTTTATTACTATGTAGCTCGGAATTGAATTGGTTAGTTCGTGACTTCCTGTCAAATATTAGTTAGCATTTTGACCACAAAAGAATATATGGTAAATGTGGTAACAATGAAGAAGGAAAAAGAGACTTCTTTCAAGCTGAGGGAGTTGAAAATTGAAACATTTTCAAGTAAATATCCGGTGCACCCGTTGTCCCATGTAGGAATATTCTGCAACCTAATGCATTAACTTGTTAAAAGTGTTACTTTTTAGGAAATTTACATGCTGCAGCAAAGTGATCAGACTTTTCAAAATGTGGTGATCATGTGAAAGAGTCGAACAAACTTTGATTAGGATACCAAATTTTTCCAATTGTCTTCCAAATATCTTAACAACTAATCCATATTCGATGTACGAACTCTGAAAATTTTAAAAAAAAAAAGGGAAGAGATTGAAATATTGACCAAACATGAGCTGATCTAGACTTGAACTCAAAACAAACATGAGCTGATCAACTGAAAACAAGAATCTTAATTTGTATTCTGTGGAGTAGCTACAAGAAAACCATACTTTGCATTAGATGTTGTAGGAGGACTTTGTTTTTGAGTTTGTTGCTGAATTTTTGCAGGTTCAGTGGGTTTTGCAAAACTTTTACCTTAACTTCAAGGACGACTTATATCTACTCAAGATCGACTCCAAAAAGGTATAATCACTGTAGCAACACATTAACTCAAGAAGAGTATAAAATGGAAGATCACTGTAATTTGCTAATAATGCTATTTGGCTCTCTATTTTGTTCCACTTTGGCTATAACAGCTCGGGAATGGTCTGGTGTACGAAGCGGTAGATGAGTCCAATTCGTTTCCTCATTTCTACGGGCCATCTCGAAGTTTCAGCCCACTTCCTCTGGATGTTGTTAGCAACGCAGAGAAACTGGTCAGGGAAGATGGTAAATTCACCTGCTCTTTCCTCGCTTCATCATAAGCACCAAATCCATTTGGGCCTTTTTCTGACAGCTGCTTTTAACCAGCCCAACTTTGTTCTATTGTTTTGATGACTGATGAGGATGAATGCTTTTTTTTTTTTGGTGATAATAATGTGTTATACATTTACTTTTCCAATATACATTTTGATGATTGCAATATGCGTTTAAGTTAAATTGAACACACACACAGACGTTCCAATCACAATAGTCCTTTGTTTTTTTTTTCTTTTTGGGCCCTTGGTAGAAGTTACAAGTTACAACAATTGTAAAGGGGAAAAAGGAACAAAAAATGCCATGATTATGGCAGTCGACAGCAAAGTTCTGGTCTTCATCATCATGGTAGCAAAAATGGCATTTTTACGAGCTTATACCAAAGTTTATTGTGTCAAAAGTGCAAAGCATTGTTATGTGTGTTAATGACTTTTAATTCTCATTGTGTTATGCAAAATGCCAATCATATTCAAGTTTGTCCACAAATTTGTCATGAGGAATTCAACTATGATTTCACCATTATTTAATCAAACTCGTGTTGACTGGTCTAACACTTGAGACTAATGTTGAAGATTTTTCCTAACACTTTCAAGAATAATACTACAATTTAACTTTTTTAATTTTTAATATAAAATGAACAATTATTTTTTTAAAAAAAACAATTTCTTCCATTGTAAGTGCCAAGTTTCGAATGACACATATATTACGTTACATGAAATCCTTTGGGGTTTTCCGATGGTATCACGTCTTCTGCCCACTTATTGGGGTTAGTAGTATGGCTCGCGACTTTGCCTGAGTCTAGGCGGCAATTAGAAGGCGTTGATTCTCCTACCCTAAAACTTACTGTATTCTTTAAAATGAAAAAATGAAATAAAATAACTTTATATTAGGAAAAGAATGAACATCAAGATTAGCTGTCAAGAGGACGACAAGAGTGTAATAAGTCCACGGCAATGACTATGACTATGACTCCAATTAACATGTTTTAATCATCAAGAACCCATGTGGGAATGGGGGACCTGACCTGACCTGAGTCCTGACTAGGGTCTTCTAATCTAATCTAATCTAATTAATGATGTATTATTTACTATTAATTTTTTTATACTTTAATAAACAGTGTAGGCCATTATTATCTTCTTTAACTCACTTCATCATCTTAATTCACCACTTACATACTCTGCAATTCTTTTTTCATTAAGTTCAGCCCTGAAATATGACATTTTAATTTGAAATCATCGCTTTGAAATTGTATTAAAAGTGAAATCTCGTACCGGACAATAATTTTGAGACAGAGGGAGTAGTTCTAGATAAATCAATGTATACTTTATGAGTTTAGTAAGAGACCATCTTTTTTGTTAAGTGGCAAATGATCTTTTTAGTCAAGAAATGAGACCGATTATGGATCCTTTTTTTACAAAAAAAAAAAATTAAAGCTTCTTACTGGGATCAAGTAGCAAGTAAAAGTGTTGTATAATTGATTATTGTGTTACGCTAATTATATTCCAAATAGCTTTTTTTTTTTCGCACTTGATTTTGGTGGTGTAATGGATTGATTAATTAGGAGTGTGGGGGTTATAGAGGGGCCTCTTTGAGGATAAAAATAATTATTATAATAAAATTATTATTACAAAAAAAGAACATACAGCTCAAAAGCCTTGAAAAGTAATCATCTAAGGAAAGTGTTTTTTGGTTCAGTTCTCAGTTTGTCTCCTTAATTTATCGCAAACCAATGAAACTAAAAGAAAAAACACTAGCGATCGTATTTCTTCTTTTGAGTTTAAATCTAAGTCTTGTTTACACTTTCACGATATTATTATTATTATTATTTTTAACAAAAAAAAAAGAAGCTCACAATCCATTTTACTCATACTAGAAATTGAACAAGAAAGACAAATATGAGGCTAGAAGTAGTGAGAAAATAGCAAAACAATGACCACACTCAATCAAATTCGCAAGTTAGTGGCCAAAGAGATGGCAGTGATGATCAGCGGACAAAAATAGTAGTGATGATTGTACTTTTTCTGATAATGTTTATCAATTATAGTAACAGGATCGATCTTCAACATGTATAAATATAAAAATTTATTTTTACCTTAAAAATATTTAGTAGTAGTAGTAGTAGTTCCTAGATTTCTCTAATCTTCCACTTCTATCATCATAAGTCGCAAAATCCTGTCACAAACTCACAATGTTTCACTAACAATTTAGACTAATTAAAAAAAAAAAAAGTCGAGCCTTATCATGATCGAGGAAGAACATGATATATATTATCCTTTTCTCTAAAAGAAAAAAAAAAAATTGGGGGTGCAAATTCGTAGGGCATTATTATTCATGTGACAACAATAACATTGAACGTCACAAGAGGAACGGTGAGACACGCAAAACCTTGACACATGCTTATGTTGTTTTATTAATTATGCTCTTTTTTTTTGTTGGTAGTGGTAGAGATGTTTACTTACACCTTTGAACACAAATCGGTGTAATTAATAATCTAATAAATAAATTATTTCAAGCTCCACACCACCGCAATTTTGCGGTTGAATTTTGCTTCTATCTATAATAAGACTATAACGTCTGCTTCTTTTTTTTTTTCTTCTAATCGTACAACTGCTTCTTTCGTGATGTATAATCCTTTAATGGAGATCCGGAAGTATTGAGTTCAATCACATTTTATATGAATTATCATCTGATTTTGACAACTTTATGTTTTTGATATTATCTATCCGGTATCCGAAGTCATTGCTCCGACTAATCTGGATTCGAGCCGTTGACAACTTTATGTTATAAAAAAAAAAATCCCTAGACGTGGAAGTTCCCGGCAGCCTTATATCTAAAGTTTATTGGAAATGTATTTGAATGATTTACTCAAAAAAAAAAAGAGAAGTAATTTCTTAATTCTAATTAGGGTTTTAATCGAAATGATCAGTTTTGTTGATTAACTATAACTAGCAACCCGCTCCATACTCAAAAGTCATAGTCATAGTTTTTTCGTATATGGCTGTTAACAATTTTGCAATCTCTATTTATTTATTTTTTCTTTTTTTCTTAATGTTTCTCAACCCTATTAAATGATCTCGTATGTCTCCATCGAATATTCAATTGATAGGTATAGTATAGTTATCCGCTTCTGGTTGCTCCACTAATTCTCAAAATTATTTCAATTGTTGGTCTATAAAAATATCAAACAATTTCGTGTTTCTCATCATCTGCTAAGTAATAAATTTACTACTATCTTTTCTATATCATTTAATAACACTTTATATTTTGAGACGAAAAGAGTTTAAAATGTTACGACAAGGCCTCAATTATTCATCAGATCACCACGAAATTGAAAATCATCCTTCCCCCCAACTCTGGGATTGATTTTACGTTGTCTTGGATCCATTTCCATTGTCTGAAAATTGTGGTCTATATTGTGTTCCTTATTCTTTTCTTGGACCCATAACTATACTATTTTGCCTACAGCCTCACTTTTTTGGAATTTTGTTTTCAATCCCCCCCTCCTCCTTTTAAAAGGAAAAAGACATTTTACAGGGTTTTGTTTTTATCATTTATGTGCCTGTATCCCACTTCCATCGTTTCTCTGTTCCCGCCTTTCTTTCTTTTTCATTTTTTTCCTTATGACTAATTCTAATATAACTACTAGTATCATTTAGAATTTCATCTCCTAAATTAACCACCTACTCTTTTTCAAAATTATTGTCATTTTCTTTCAATATCAATAACTTTAGATAAACTTTTGTACAATGTAAACATCATCGTTGCCTTTTTATTTTATTTTATTAAACTAGTTAGGAAAAAAGACTCGAGTGAAATACTAGTTGCGATTAATCGGATTCATGAGATAGTCAGTTCAAGATCAGAAACATCATATTAATGGTGTAAGATTTTTTCAAAAAAATTCATTTCAGAATACATACACTGATCCACAGCAGTCGGTGAAGAGAAATGAAAACCACGAGTTTGTTGAAGTCCTAAAATATGAAAACATCCGTGAATCTAGTTAAAATTTTTTTTTTTGCCATTAAAGAAAAGGGAAAAAGACGAATCTGGTGCAGAATTGAAAACTATTCTTAACTTGTCTTCATTCTGCAACCTTGGAACCTATAATAAATATTCTGTTTTTTTATATTAACTCCTGTATTAAATCTCAATCTAATAAATGACAAAAAAAAACTTGTGAGTACTTGTTATGTTTTCTCCATTTAGTCCAAAATATAAAGTAGTCCTTAAAAAAATCCTGTTATATTCTCTTCCTTCTGCCAACCTCCCCAATATTAAATTGAAAATCTTTCACTTGCTTAATTCTAGCTGAGAAAAAAGACATACTTCCAAAGTTCACTCTATTCAAAAAAAAAAATCAAAAAAAAAATAAATGCTATATAAAATCCCTTAGGCCCCTCCTCCCCCACACCACACTACCCAGCAAAAGCAAAAGAAGAGTTGCTGTGGCTGTGGGTACTTCAAATTATCTCCATTCTGCCGACTCATTGCATGTCATAGTTGTCATTGTAATCACATTTGTCCAAATTTACAGCTCCTGTTTTCAAAGGAAAACTGGGAAACCATACAAATTTATAGGATTTTTTTTTTTTTTTTTTTGGTTTCCCCCTGAGATTTGTGTTAAGGGGGAGAGAAAAATTTCAGGGCTTTGAGCATTTTTTTTTTTGGGCAGGCATGGGGAATCAGCTCATGGGATTTTGGGGTTTAGCAGTGCTAATTGGTTTGTTGCTCCAAATTAGCCAATGGGGTGTGGAAAGTTTTGATTTTGATGAGTTCTTTTTCAATAGAACTGAAGTTTCATCTCTCTCAGAGTCAGCCTATGGTGTTAGTAATGGTGCTGCTCAGCCTTTAATGGTGGGTATTACCCTCATTGAAAGAGCTGCTGCTCAAGGGGCTGGTACTAGATTCTTTACTTCTTCTCCTTTTTGATGTTGTTTTCTTCTCTTGGTTAAGTTGATTATAACATAAAGCAACATTGATTCTGTTTTCCATATCTGTGGTAATTCCTGTTTTTTTTTTTTTTTTGTGAATGTGATTCCAGTAATGTATCTTTGTGAATGTGTTCAATCGGAAATGGTTTCCTTTTATTCATGTGGTTTCACTTTTTTTGGATTCTGGAAAACGGTTTCCTGATCTCTGAATCTGCAATTTTTATGAGCTGTTTCGGATTACATTGTTCTTGAAAAATTAATTGTTGGTCACAAAGTCTGTTCTTTTCCGCATCTTGCGGTGTTTTGTTGACTGATGTTGTTACGCCGCTGTGTTAATTTTTTTCCACTTGTTTGGTTGAGTGTTAGTTGCGTAACCTGGTACTGGTTTTTAAGAAGGTTTCTTGTCGGTTTGTCTTTTCAATGTGAATTCCTCTGTAATTATTATGACTACCCACTGATTAACAAGCAGATAAGAGTAATTGTAATTATCCTTTTCTCTACTTGATGATATCCTAAATGCTTCATCAAATCAGAATTTTCATAGTCCATATAGGTCTTTATCTACTGACTCTATGAAAATTGTCACTGCTTAAAATTTAAGGTGAATTGGTATTTGAATTGGATTTCGTTGTCTGAAATCCTGCTGATGACTTTTCTTTTTTCCAGTGAACCAAGTTTCTTTTTTTGCCCTGATAACTTGAAAGCTGACTGCAAAGTTTATTTTTTGTCTCTCATTGTGCAGTATGCTTGGATGGAACATTACCTGCTTATCACTTTCATCCAGGATTTGGGTCTGGGGCAAACAGCTGGCTTGTCCAATTGGAGGTATATTTCAGTCAAGTTTAAGTCTTTTTCTTATTCTTAAAAAGGAAAAATCGAATCATACTTCATTCTATCGCTTTCTGTTTTTGTCTTTTAACTGTTTTATTCATGCTTGCCATGTGACTTAAAAATTTGAGTCTTTCAAACAGATCTTTCTACATTTCCGCTTTTTCTTGCATCAAATTCTCGTGTATCTTATCCTGGTATAGAAGTGGATTGAGTCTACTGGGAGGGAAAAAATAAAATTATATGGTTTGTCAGTTAGAGCAAAGAGACTAAGCCAATGATCTTGGAGTTTACCTTTTTGAGTATCGGGGTCATAAGTTAAGCGACTTGCTGGGTTGTTTTTTTTGGTTCTTAACTGGTCAAGACCTTACGGCAGGGTGGAGGATGGTGCAACAACGTCAGATCATGTGTTTTCAGGAAAACAACAAGACGAGGATCTTCAAAATTCATGGAGAAGCAGCTGGCATTTACAGGGATACTTAGCAACAAACCTGAAGAAAATCCAGGTTTTCCTTCTAAACTGAGAATTTTTAATATTCACGTATGGTCTACTGCATGTTGAGATGGGGGAATTCTTATTTCGTATGTTGGCTATTGTCCCAACTAATTGTGTAATTTGCAGACTTTTTCAACTGGAACAGAGTAAAGGTTCGTTATTGTGATGGAGCTTCATTTGCAGGGGAAGGTGAAGATAAGGTTCGCAGTAGACTGTTTGCTGTTTTTGTTTTTGTTTTATTATTATTGTTTTTAGAAGTTTCTAATGTAGTAACTGCAAGTTAGTAGATGAATCAATATACACATTGCTGAAGTTACACGAAATGAATATTATAATCTGACTATTATCTTCTATTCTGAAACTCCCCTCAGGCTTCCTTAAGAAAATTGTTACCTCATATCTCATGCTAAAATGAAGATAAAATTTGAAAACTTTTAGTGGTGAACTTGTGGTTTTAGCCTTAAGCCGAATGAAATATATAACCGGAATGGATTAGTGATGAAAAACTTAAAAGGAAACTGCTATTTTGATATCAAACGCCCTGCCTTTTGATATCTCTATTAGTGATCCTAACTTCATGGTGACCTTTATACAGGTTGCACAATTACAATTCAGAGGACAGCGCATATATCGGGCTGCAATGGAAGAGTTAATGTCAAAGGGCATGCGTTTTGCAGACAATGTAGCTTTCTTTAACCTATTAAAAAATATCTTTCCTTTTCGTGTACTCTCTTGATTCCTAACGACATAGTTATGTTTCAGGCCCTTCTTTCAGGATGCTCTGCTGGTGGCCTAGCTTCTATATTGCACTGTGACGAGTTTGGGGAGATGTTCTCAAGAAATACTAAAGTCAAATGTCTCGCTGATGCTGGATTATTTATGGATGCGTAAGTTCTGGCTCCAGATTAACTCTTTTGCCCTGAGCAACTTCTGTTGTGCATTTGGATTCTGAACTCTATTACCGTTTAAATTTGTAGGGTTGATGTATCTGGGGGACGCTCACTAAGAAACTTCTTCAATGGTGTGGTAACCATGCAGGTAGTTCTCAGTGAAAGCTTTTTAGTTATCTGATGTTCCTTTAATTTCATGTGCAGCAACCTCCATTTTTCCCTTTTCCTTTTGGTTTTGTGCTTCTATTAGAAAAGTAAAGTATTCCAGAGTTCCTCTTCTGTGATATTTTAAGCTGATTTAAGGTTCTTATGTACTACCAGGGCGTCGAGAAGAACCTGCCTGGCACTTGTACTAGCCGCATGGATCCAACTTCAGTGAGTCTTTTTCATTTTCACCTCAAAGAAAACTCTTATGATAAAGAAGAACAGTCTTGCAACTTGAACAGTATCTTAATTTAACAAACTTTTCAAAATCTTCTTTCAGTGCTTCTTCCCTCAGAACTTGATTGCCAACATCAGGACCCCACTTTTTCTTCTTAATGCTGCCTACGATGCATGGCAGGTAATGTAGCTTTTGTCAAGAGGTTCTATTGGTGCTAACCAATGAGTTTTACATGGATCTAAAGAACCAACATTGAAGTGTTTTGAAAATTTTCTTTTTTGTTCAGGTCCAAGCAAGTTTGGCTCCTCCCACGGCTGATCCTCATGGAGCTTGGCGTGATTGCAAATTGAATCATCAACGATGTTCTGCAACTCAAATCCAATTCCTGCAAGGTAATGTAACATAAATCAACTTGAGAGTTGCATAACCTGGTTTCATGCCATCAAAGTCAAGGGCGCATCATAACACAATGTTGCTCTTAGCAGAGTTTAGGATCCACATGCTTAGTGCAGTGAGAGGCTTCGCAATGACCGAGCACAACGGCTTGTTCATCAATTCATGCTTTGCTCACTGCCAGTCTGAGAGACAGGATACCTGGTTTGCCGATGAGTCTCCTGTGATAGGCAATAGGGTACGACTCCTCTACTGACTTTCGCAGGGTTTCTTTCAGAAATGACTTAATGCCTCTTAACAGCATCGGATATCCTATCGAACTCATGCATTTCATCTACTATCCCATAACTTATGTTTTAACCAGGCCTGCTCTGTATGGTTTGCAGGCAATTGCGCTAGCTGTTGGAGATTGGTATTATGGTAGGACAGGAGTTAAGGATATCGACTGCGCTTATCCATGTGACAAATCGTGTCACAACCTAGTATTCAGAAAGTAAAAAGATAGGGTGTCTGATTATACCGATTTAGTTTCAATTTATGTGATCATATAGGTGAGAAAGTTCACCACCCCATTGCTATAGTTACAACGTTTGTACTTGGCATCCAAAATGTAAGCAATAAATTGCAATTGCTGAGGAACAAGGTTACCTTATTGGAAATAGCTTATGCATTATAAGCAAATTAAGATGATATAGTTCGCGGTAAATGATTACAGTAAAAAAAATAATCACATCTGGTGATATTAAATTGTTCAAAAGATTAAAAAAAATAAATAAAAAATCGCGAAATGTTGAAATGAAAACGTTGACTAATTTCGCTATCCTTTGACAAGAGAATGGTCTCAATTCTTTCTTCTTTTGTTTTTTCATCTCTAAATGTTCCCTCCCAATCCGTCTGTATGAGAGTTCGAACCAAATTCCGTGTTAGAAGCTACGCAAAGGGTATATTGAACTAATATCTGCTGAACTAAAATCGTAAAATGAACTCATTCCCTTGTGTGTTTTGTAGTAATTTTTTGAAGGATCGTGTCAAGAAATACATGACATGAATTAATCATCAAATTTCATGATTGTGTTGTGAAAGTAAAATACTTAGAAAATGATTATACTGTCAACATACAACTTAAAACAGATTATTATTATAAATATATGATGATTATACAGTAATTATTTTATTTTATTTTTTATTTTTAAGAAAGAGCTTTACTATCGACACTTGTTAATGCACATTTTGTTCAGACTTTTTTTTTTTTCCCTCGAAATAAGTATGAGACGTGAAGCCACTATGGGCCTTCTGGTTTGATTTTTGGGCCTTTGAAGCCCAACATCAACTGGCTCTGGACTTTGTGTTGTGCATTCTAGAGAGTTATTTTGTTGGTGGGACTAGGCAAGATTCAATATTTGTTTTTGTTTGGATATAATGAACTCCATAATCTAAAATTATTACTCCCCGTCCCATAATTATTGTTCAGTTTGGGTTTTCATTTCTAGTTCAAATTGTACTAAAAGTGAAATCTCAAATTGGACAATAATTTTGGGACAGAAGGAGTATTTCGATTAATTCGAATTCGAAGTTGATTGATACTTTTTCGAACTTGTGCTGGCAACTCTTGTCCGATTTATGCATGTCAACTTAACCCACTAATGCGCACCAAACTTCAATATTTTATCTAAGACACTGATGAGAGGTTAATAAAGAAAAGAATATGATCAAGACTCAAAAGTAGAACATTTTTTTTTTAACCACGGAGTAAACAAAGTTGAATATAGAACCTTAATAAATAAACTAAGTTTAACTGAAAATTAACATACGAACCTCAATTGGAACTAAGTTATACTCTCTACGGTCCATGAAAGTACGTAGTTCACCTTTGCGATAATGTTTTGGTTTAACAAAGTAAACTATTTTACGACAACAAAGGATATACTCCGTAGGCCATGGTAGAATAAAAGCGCAAACTAGAGAAGTTAGTTTTGAAATTGAATTATGTTTTTGGCTTTTATGCAAACTGGAAGGAGTAACAGTACATGTCATGTTCTTGTACTCTCTCCGTCTTATAATTATTGTTCAGTTTGAGTTTTTATTTTTAGTTCAAAGTATATTAAAAATGAAATATCAAAGTGGACAATAATTTTGGGACAGAGGGAGTAATTCTTAATCCCCAGGTTGGATTGCTTGATGAGGAAATAATTGGTCAATCTTAATTGATTAATCTCTATCCCTCTTGTTTTTAACAACTAATCTCATTTTTTTTTATCAGCCAAGTTGCTTTCTGGAAATTAAAATATATTCCTGTGCAGCTAACTTGGTTTAAAACTTTGTATGAGAAGATATGGTCGCAATCTCCATTTCATATGAGAGCTGAAATACATTGGAAATCATTGTGAGAGATCAGCGACGCAGGATTTGATTCCTTTCCCAGAGTTTGCGCTCATTAGTTTTTAGGTTTTTTGTTTTTCCAATTTAATATAGTTCCTTTTCTAGAACTCTTCTAGGTTTAAGATGACCGAGTCCTAGACACGAAATTCATAATTAATATATTACTTCCGTCTCAAAAAAATATTTTTATTTATTGCATTCTTTCAGTTCAACAAACACAAGGTGGTTTTTTTTTTTTTTTGGAACGGAAGAGAGTACATATATAGTTGAACTTTGAATTATCCCTTGTTTTTCTGTTTTGGGTGGAGTTAAATCATACATTTTTCTTAACATTTCAAAGAAAGATCATTACTCAAAACGACCCCTCGTTGGGAATTTTTGCGTCCGTTATTAAAATGTCAAACTTTAATTATTGTTCCAATTACATGTAGTTATTGGATCAATAGATCAGACTCAAGTATAAACCTGTTATAGAAGAGATAACTGAATACATTTTTTTTTTTTTTGAGCGGAAAAATACATCTAATATAACAACTAAATAAATTGAATTTTTTTCAAGGCGAGGGACCGAAAGAAATTGACAAATTAACCAAGTTAAAGATGATAAGAGTGATTTGCAGTTTTACACACGCCTTGAAGACACCATATACAGTATTTCTATTTCTCGCTAAAATCGAGGTTGACCCGAGTTAGATTCATCGCAGCCGGGTTGCATTTTTCACAAAATTTTTTCCTTAATAAAAAAAAAAAAAGAAGAGGGAAACTCAAAGTCAATGTCCGCTTGTCGGTCTCTTTGGGTCATCTAACATTCTTATGACGCCTAAAGCCACACAATAGCCATAATCTTTTTTGGGGGGTGCATTTTTAATAACATTCAGTTCATTATATTCTTGGATTATGTCACCATCATAACATCGTGTTATATTCAAAAATCATTTAATTTCAGTTGGTTTCTAATCAGATGTGAATCCAATCCTAATGACACAACCATACTCTTTTAGGTCTTGTATTAATATGTACTCCTTTCGTTACAGAAAAATAATCATTTTTTTCTAGTTAATACAATAAATTAGATTATTTTTATGCTGTGGTGGAATTATATATATATTTCCTTTGTTATAAAATTATTGTCCTATTTGAATTTTTATTTTTAGTTCAATTTATACTAAAATTGAAAAATCTAAATTGGACAATAATTTCGGGAGGGAGGGATTATTTTTTAAAGTAACACCCCAATGTACTCTCGTTAGTCACTTGAACTAACCCTTCAAGAAAGCACCCTCCACCATTTCACATTGTAAGTTGTCCTAACGAAACTTGTTAAGGTTGACACTTGCTTAAATGGAAGGGGAAAACGACTATTTCGGTCACTTTAATGGCGTGGATTACCGACAAAACTCTTTTCTTTTTGTACTAATAATACCTAAAAAGTATGGTTATTAATTTAAGTTCACAAAAGTCTAACTTGTACATAATTGTTGTTGAAAAAAGAAGATAACATATGAAATTATATACAAGCACTTCCATCTTATAGTAAATTAATTCATGGTAGACTGATTTTTTTTGGGACGAAGATAGTATAACGAAAGAACCCTTCTCCTCCTCTTCTTCTTCAAGTCATCAAAGAAAGCAAGCAGGCTGCATGCTTCGCATGTTTGTTTGTCATCCAGAATACATAGAATCTCAACACATTAAAATATTGCCATCCTTTATTTCAGTAAAATTTTTAATCACCTCCATCATCATTGTCTTTATTATGTCTTTATCATCTCCCATTTTTCCTTCTTCCCCTGTCAAATTTCCTTTATTAAATTCTATTATGCATTATATTAATCATATGATTCTGTTTGTCTTTTTAAACTTTATCTATTGAGATTTTTTTTTTTTTAATAAAAAAGGCTTTCGAAGATCATTTTCTAAGACCAATTGACAAGCTGAAACACCCCCAAAAAAAAAAGAAGAAAAAAAGAAATGTTGTGTTCACTTTGTTGCCATCTCATTTCTCTCTTTTTCAAAGGACATCCCATATCGATTTATTTATTTTTGTTTCCTTCTGTTTACTAATAATTGTAGGGTCCTCATTACAAACACTCAATAATTTGCTTCACATGCATTCTTGGCGGCACCAATATATAATTCCATATTTAATATTTGTGTTGAATCGGTACGTATACAGTCTTTATTAGAAAACAAGAAAGAAAACTCTACCACTAAAAAACGTTATACTTTTATATTTTATTTTTCAGTCTTCTTAAAGTATTTGAATATAATTACGTCTTTTTTTTCCTGTAATGAGAAAACCCTTGAACAAGCTTCTAACCAACACATAAAATAAAGTCGAACCATCCTAAGCAAGCTTCGAATGATACGTTCAATGTGTTGCAATGGGTTTTTTGAACCTAAAACCGTTACATTAATTGTTACGTAAAATGCAAAATGATTTTACGAGATCGATCGCCACTTTTTTCTTTTTAATTTTTTGCAAATTTATTTTGATAAAAGAATTTTAAAGTCTTTTTATTAATAAAAAAAAATATGTTAGTAACAATTTTGAGGTAGGGTTGTTCTGGGCTCTACATACTTTGTGTGTGCACGTGGGCACACACGAAGGTGACTGTTTTGAGATTGTCCCACAAAATATACAAGTTCATGTGTGGTTCCTCGATACATAATTTTGGTATGGGGCAATTCCCATTGATTCTTTCAAAAAGTCCCCCCAAAGCTTCCATGGCTACCATTTTATCTGAATTATATTTGGTGTATTTTCATCAAAGAAGATTGAAATTGTCCTGTAGTCATGTACCCTTATGGATCGATCTAGGGTCCTCAAAAATAATGATCCCAGGCCCTCCTCCCTATATATGGTCCTTTAGGGATAACACACGCCACGGAAAAAATTTCACTTTTCTAACGTTATTTATCATGATTTGCGATGTTTATCTTAGAGGTCGAGAATTCAGTAAAAAATATATGAACTTGTAATTACATTAATATGGTCACTATCGTTTTGACAAAATTAGATGGTGGAATGGCACAATCTTGTTCACAAATGTTTTGTTATTCAAAGGGAACTCCATATTTGAGGCAGCAAATCTATGTACTTGTGTTAAGGTAAGAGTATTAGAAAAGGGTAGTTTCATCAACTTTAAAGAGAAAAAAAGGATTTAATTAGGATCTACTACTACTAGTCTACTACTACTACATATATATATATATATATGTATGTATATATAGATGGTCCCCTAGGCTGCTGAATCCTGAAAATTGAGTCCACTTCATCAAATAGGACTTGAAGAACTTTTTCCCTGTCTTAGGAATTTGTGAAAATGAGAGCTTAGCTGTTGAAGACTACAAGTCAATTTTTGTACTCTCAGAATGACCTTATGATGCTCAAGAAGCTTACATCACTATGAGCTTTTTAATGGGGGGGAAAAAAAAAGAAAAAGAAAGAGCGCACCAAAATATTAGTACTTACTCTGCCATTGAAATGAAAGAAATCTTTAGAAACTGTGAAACTGTCCTAAGAAAAAGAAAAACATGGGAATTTTTTTTTGGTGAAGTTTACTTACCATTGTCACTCTCTTTGTCCTTTATATTTTTGAAGTATCAACATCAAGATGTGTCATCAAAGGGTCCCTTCCCATTATTCCTCTGTACAATCCCCAAATTAGTAAAGGTTTTTCGTCCCGTATAGTACGGTGTCTGTCGGTGTCCTTTTGATGAAAATTTGCATTCACTTCACTTCATCATACACACACATACACACGTCCATTATCATCAGAGTCTGTCTCACTGAGTCGTCAACTTGTGAATTCTATATCGAAGAATCATCTGTCTCACTGAGTCGTCAACTTGTGAATTCTATATCGAAGAATCATCTGTCTCACTTTTGTGTATTACTACATCTGTTCATAATTAAAATAAAATGATCTGTTCAGTATATGTATCATATTTGTGTCTCATTGTGAGTACGATACTGTTTGAATGACGATTATACGATTTATAAACTCCACGATTGGTGAATAACATACGATTTGTAAGAGTTTTTAAAACGATATCATTCAACTAAATCGGTACATAAGTGACACACATGCAAGTATTTGGAGATGGTATAGTTTGGACAAATAAATCCCATCTGACCAAAACTAGTGTGACCCATTGCCCTACTCCTATTTATATAGGGGGGATCCTTCTAGTTCTACATAATACGAAGCCTAATTTAGTTCTACAAGTGTCAATAGAATGGATGAGATCGTACCCAAAAACTTTTTTGTTGCTGGCAACTTTAGGGTCCTTTTCTTTTCTTTTTATCTTTTTTTTTTTTTTTTGCCTTTAAGGCAGCCCTTAAATTGTATAGATGACATTAATACACAGAGACAACTACAGTGTTTGACATGAAGCATATGGCTTTTATGAGATTGAAAGTCATTTTCCTTTTATCTTGACTACTAGTGTACTAAATTGGACAGCTCCTTATGTTGTGGGGTTCTTCTAACTTACCTTTCTCTAGGAAAAGTACCCTTATTTTTGGCACCCGAACCAACCTATCAAAATTCTTGCATTTTCTTCTTCCAATGGCATTTTCAAATTATAATCTTTGAGCTATAGAAGTGACTTAAAGACTGTAAAAAAAAGTGAAAAACTATCCCCATATGTTGGAGGGCAACAACAACCATTTGATCAAAAAAAACATGGTTCCTTGAATCTTGCATTGCAAAAAGCACTTGTTTTTGTGCCTTTCTTTCAAACTACAGTAAAAAAAATGTGTGAAAAGAACCAATTCTGACAGAAGTGAATGTACTAATCAATTGCTATTTTACTCATTAGTCATTACACTGTCTAAAAGGCAAATTTGAAACAAAGCTCTGCAGAAAACTCAAAAAAGATTTTAGGCATTTTATTGCAGATAGTCACTATCTGAATGAAAAAGAAATCCCCTGTTGTTCTTAATGATGAATAGCAGAATGCTAAAGGATTATTACTACAACGGTAAAACCTGAAAAGGAAAAAATAGAACCCTTTTTGATGGCTAGCTCAACAGACAATATTATTATTGAAAAAAGATGAAATTACAACCTGTGATGATTCTTCAAACTTGCAAATGAAATAAAAAGCACAGAAAAAACAGAGAGGGTTTTGGGTAGAAAAATTGAAGAAAAGAAATAAATAGTAAAAGAGAATCATTCCACAGAAAAATGAACAGTGCACAACTTTTGTTCTTTCCTGTGAATTTGTTGTATAGGAGGAAGACCTATGTACAGAATAAGAATTGGGATTTTGGGGAATTGGGATGGAAATCTACAGAATAACACACACCTGTTGATTTTTTTTTTAATCAGTAAAAATGACTCCTTTTTTCCTTTTTTCTGGATGAAATGAAACTAAGAATATTGACCAAAAGCAGCAGGAAGTCTTTGAAAATGCTTATTATATAGTTCTGCTGCAGCTGAAACTTGAATTGTCGGTTGCTGTTGATTCTGTTGAAGCCAGTTACTTCCACCATTCAGTGAAGTTTCTGGCAGGGTAAAATTCATCCCGGATGATGATGACTTTGTCTCACTGTAAATATCTTGATGACTCTGAAGCGTTGTTGCAGAATTATTCCCAAGTAAAAATGGGGCCTGAAGATATTCAGACCACTTGATATCTTCAGTATCGCTTATTGATGATTGATGATGAATATGGACATTTTTCTCTGCTTTTACCCCAGCAGCAGCAGCAGCAGCAGCCCATGAGAAGCTATTATTGTTATTGCTGTCAAAGAATGAACAATTGCTCTGTAACTCAATTGTACCAGTACTGCTACTTGCATTGCTGGTGCTGCAATTGTCCCAACTCTGAAACTTGTTGACATTAAAAGGGCTCAATGAACTCTCTGAAGGAAGACTAATAGATGGCTTTATCCGGGCTGCGGCCGAAACGGCGGAATTGAAGTCAGGAACCATTTCAGATGACCTGGAATTCGGGTGGAAGAAGGATGAGGTTGCTGCAGAGTTAGGATTGTTCACGGATAACCCGATATTCGTCAACCCGTAATTCAGTTGTTGTTGAAAAGAGAAATAGTCCTGCAAATCAGGTGGAGGCTTAGGACTAGTGCTGGAGCTGTCATGGCTGGAAAGGAACCTATTCAGGAAGAATTCATGAGTTGTTGTTGCTGCTGTTGTTGTGGTTTCCATTAGTGGAATTAAGGAAGATGGATTATTAGGCTTCTCAAGTACAGCTAATTTATTGCTCTGTTCACTACTCTGTTGTTGTTGATGATGATGATGATGATGATCAGAAACAGAAGCCTCAACATAATTCAACTCACTTGAGGATCCTTCAGATGCTTTCTCATTCTTCTTGCTGCTGTTGTTTGATGCTGCTGATCCTTTTTCTTCAGTCTCAACCTCAGATAAAGGCTGATGAGTGTTTGGGTCAATCCCTCTTTGCCTAAGCTTTTTCTTGATTGAAGAGTTCCATAGATTCTTGATTTCATTATCAGTTCTACCAGGTAGTTTTGCTGCTATCTGGGACCATCTAAAAAGAAAGCAAAAACATAATTAAGGACCAGGATGAAAGGAAAAAAGGCAAGGGGAACATATTCCTAAGAAATGCATGATTGATTACAGTGTAGTTTTAGGATAGAATATTATTGTAATCAAATAGTTGTTTTTTTTTTTTTTACCTGTTTCCCAGAACTGCATGCAATTCAATGATCAAGTTCTCTTCTTCAACAGAGAATGTCCCTCTTTTCAAGTCTGGCCTTAAGTAATTGATCCATCTTAACCTGCAACTCTTCCCACATCTCTGAAGTCCTGCGGAGCAAAATTTCATTCAAATTAAGAGAAACTGTTCCACATTTCTAGTTTTGTTTGCAAATTTTCTTGCATTAAGCAAAACTATAGAGGGCAAAAGGTAAAAACCAAAATACCTGCAAGTTTAGGGACTGAACTCCAACAACCATGGCCGTATTTAGTTATGTGTTTGATCAATTTTTCATCTTCTTCAGGAGACCAAAGTCCTTTCCTTAGCTTCTGCTTATAACAGCAAGAATGCCTTCCCATTTTCAGTTGAGCCAAGCTGCAATGCTGCTTTGGAAGGTGGAAGATTTTTTGCTTGAGAAAGAAGAAGAGGATGATGACGAAGGGAAAAAAAAGTGGGAGGTTTTTAGAAAACGAAATGGTAGGCTGGTCGGGAATCAGAACTGAAAGGGAAGAGGAGCCCTTAAAAAGGAGGTCATATTCAAAGGCAGGCCTTGAGAAGTTGAATTCTAGATTATGGTTTGTTGAGGGGCTTTTTTTTTAAAAAAAAAATATAATAATAATAATATTAACATTTATTTTGTAAATTTTGTTTTAATATTCTCTATCAACGTGAAATTGGAGCTCCAATATATTTGTGAATTAATTGCTATAAGTCTCATCTAAAAGAAATTAATGACATTGACAGATATTGTGGGGTATATTGTGACAGATATTTATTTGTTGGAAAAGAATGATTAATTCCTTGATTAAAAAAAACCCATGCTTAATCAATGTATTACAATTAGCCTAATCATCACCTCTAATTTATTTATTATAAACTTGTGTTTGTGTGTGTGTGTGTGTGTGTGTGTGTGTGTGTGTTTTCATTTTTATTTTTATTTTTTTAAAAAAAATTCGATGGTACAAGTTCACAAAGTATGAAAAAACAAGCTGTCACAATTGACATTAGCCCTTTTTGAGTTTTGAGTTCATATCATCATCCCTTAAGCAAATCCATCTGTTTTTTTCACCAAAATTTTGCCAAAGATTCTAACTGACAGAAAATGGGTATATGTTGAAGGAGATAGGAAAACCCCTATGGGGGAGTTGAAGCTTTCTAAAATGGTAATATATGCCTAATTTAAATATGTGATAACAAAAGGCCTTAGTTTGCACAGTAAGATATTCCTTTGTCCTTTTGATGTTTGACAATACACATAAAATAGCAATGGATTCTCCTGTTTGCATTTCCTTTTTGTTAACCCTTTTGCGGCCAGTTGGCTTCTCAAAAGATTATTTGAACTTTCCCTTAATTTTGTTTTAGGTTTTGGGCAAAAGATATTACTACAAAATATGTTGATTACAGATACTAGGATATAACAATTTGCTATAGCTTCACACCATCCAAAGACTATTATTGCCAAACTAGACTAAGTAAACTCATTATGGTCAGAAAAAACCACGATTGTATACCTCATTAACAAATATGTCTAACATTAATCGAGGGATATAATGAACTTATTCAGTAAAATGATTTAGTCACTGAAGTGACATGTATCTAAACTTAAACATTAAGACATATTATAGTCTTTTATCATTTTACTTTTGACGGATATCATAACTTAACGAGACAAACATCATCCAATCCAAGGATTCATATACTAAAAAGAAAATTTCCAAGCCCATAATGTTGATGAGCACCGGCTAAAATTGAGAGGGAAAATAATAAAACCGCTGCCTCCATAAAGGAGAATGGTTTGGATTGGATACAGGAGTTTAAAATAATCAAGAATGTCAATATTCTTTGTACACCTTATGATTGAGAGCAGAAAAAAGGAGAAGAAGGTATCTTCTAATTCTTTAATTGAATTTTTTTTTTTTGGTTGATTAAAATTTCTACCAACTACATTGAATCATTTTATCCTGTCAGAACGAATCAGATGAGATTAGAGTACAACTCTTCAATAAACCCCTATGATTGATTTTGGATTTGTTTAATCTCTTGGCTCTTGGGGGTTTAATTAATTAATTAGTTAATGAGGATTTTCTTTGTCAATGAGAGGGGGGAATTTTAATTCTTTTTATTTATGTTTTTGCTTAATTGTCTTGCCTGCCACTAATCACATGTAAGGAGCAAAAGGAAAAAAATGAAAAGAATGAAGTAAACTAAAACTAAAAATGTACGCGTATAATAAGCACAGCCGACAATCACAATAATGTAGTTGTGTCTTCTTCCCAAGGAATAAAGACGACTCTTTATTTTCTATTGTTGTTATTATTACATGTATTATATTAATTTAAAGTTTTAGGATACGGACAAAATTAAGGTTAATTTAATGTTGTTTTTGTTCTAACCGGCGTTCTCTAATTGGGTCTGCAAATTAAGGATGTTATATAGTACTTTAATACTCCCTCCATTCACAAATAGATGTCGTTGGAGGAAAACTCAAATATTCTAAAATAGATGTCGTTCTCACAAATCGAGGCATATTTTGTCAATTTTTTCCAATATCACCCTTACATTGGAAATTGTTGTGATGTTTAATGTAGAATTGTATTAGAAGTGAATTTTATTGGGACTACAATTGAATTAAGAATAAATGAGGGTATTATAGTATTTTAACAAGATAACTATTGCTTCCTTAAACTTTGTGAAATCTCTCCAGCGACATCTATTTGTGAATGGAGGGAGTAACTATAAATAATAGTAGTACTATGACTAATATTCTCTCAACGGTGAAGCCGCAGGCCAGGCAAAAGAATGGAGGAAAAAAAAGTTGAAAGAAAAAAAAAAAAAAAACAGTTTAGTCCATCATTTCGTCCCAAACTAACTATTTAATTATTAACGATAAAACATTTATTTTAAAAAAAAAAAGAGTTAAAAATGAGAGAGAAACAAAAATTTGTATATCTTTTCACCACGAATGGCTGTCAACGACCTACGAATGAATAAACCGACAGTTTGTTCGTCTTCTTGTGTAAATATTGTTCATCACGAATTTTGGTTTCCATTTCCTAATTTCAATCTACAACAAAATTCGCACACTTACCAAACATAAAATAAAATATACTCCCTCCGTCCCATAATTATTGTCTAGTTTGAGTTTTCATTTCTAGTTCAAAATGAACTAAACGTGAATTCTCAAATTTGACAAAAATTTTGGGACAGAGGGAATATATTTTACCCTAAAACGACAAATAAAAAAAAACGAAAGTAGTACTAATTAATCTTTGTTCGTAGTATTTCATAATTGCAGTACTCTTAGTAGATCAATTAGCCGTGGGACTGAGTAATTAATTGGAAAAAAAGAAAAAGAGTCCACCTTAATATTTATGGATGAATGAGAAAGGATTTTTGTAGAAGTTCGATTAACTAGAATTGTCAATGTTTTAGACATGTAGACTTTGGTCCAATAATATGACTTTCGCGTTTAGGTCATTTAGTTGTGTTCTTTTTAATTTGTGGTGCAACTTGCAATTTGGGACAACGACAATGCCAAAAACAACACATGCAGATTGTGAATGGAAAGGAAATGGTATTTCGAAATCGTAACTTTATAAAACGAACTCATTTGATTCAACCATCAAAGTATTACTCTGAGTCTCGGAAAATCTTTTTTCATCCTATTTCAGAAAAAATAGTCTATATTAAATTTTTAAAATTTTATAAAATAATATCTGAAAACTCGATATAGACTATTTTTTAAAAAATAAGTAATAATTTTTTTTTTTGTTTGTGTTTTAAGATTTACCACATGGGGTGGACCTATATGGGGGAGGGGTGTTTGGAATAAGGCATTGACATATGCACTTACAATTATTCCGTAGTTAAATTTTTGGGTCCCCTTTAACTTGAACAAATAGTAACCACTATCAGTAAAATGATGAAAATCTTCCCATTTACAGTTTCGGGGATATAAGGCACCAGGGAATGTTTTGTGTTTTATTCATCATTCTATGCACTACAACAAAAATGGGCTATTAATACCTTTATAATGGGACACTTTTTCTAAAACATGTCTCATTATATGTGTATTAGGACATTTGCTAAAAAATATCTTATAAAAATGAAAAAGTGTATGCATTTTATGAAATACTATCATAAGTGTACTATGTGGGGTTGTTTGTGAACTATTACCCTACTTAATGGGTCGCTTTAAAGTGTCTTAATAAGTGACAATCTAATAATACACTTTCAAATGTTTTATGACTTATTGTGACTCGATTATAGGAGACACTATTTAGTAGTGTCCCACGCAATGTGAATCACATATGTCCTATTATACCACTTATTGAGACACAAAAAAGTGTCTAAACTACTCATTTTTGTTGTAGTGATGTATTTCTTCCTTCCCATAATAAAAGTTTAAAGATGACGATTATTTTACTTAGGAATCCTGAACAAGTATTTTATTTGTTAGGCTTGGATGCAATAGTCTTTCACTGTTTGATTTCACCTTCCCAAAACAGTCCATTAAGGATGATTTCTGTTCATTTAAACCAAAAAAAAAAAAAAAGTGTATCTCCTTTTTGTATAATCTAAATAAATATTTTCTTTTATGTTTGCCTATTTATTTCTGTTTTAAGGTTGATTATTTCCATTCCTTTTTTCATCTTCTTCGTCCCAACAGGCGTCTTTTTTTCTCCAAAAAAATAAATAAATAAAATTATGAGTGTGATTATATAAAGTAGTAATAAAAGTTTTTGGGTGTATAGGCAAAGGGTTGTCTTCTTGTTGTGAAATTATGAGGTTCCTTGAAGCTTTGCTTGACCTTAGCCGTGTCCGAATAGGGCCATCCCATCAAAAAATAAAAAATAAAAAATAAAAAAAGGAAAAAATATTTAATATTTTGGACCCCATAATTTCTTTTTGTGATTTTGAAAAAAAAAAGGAGAGAATATTTTGGACCCCATAAGGAGATACATATAATCTCCATACCTCTGATTCATCATCAACCTTTAATTTATCTATGTATATGTATATACACAATATATATATTGTATAGACATATGAGCTGTTTTTTTTTAAGTCAACCGTTTGTGTTCCGATTATCTATACGTACACGATTAAATATAATTACTTTAGTAAATTATGAGTTCTTTAACTTAATTGGGAAAGATAACCTTATGATTTGCGCTCCTGCACTATTTTCTTTTTTTTTTTTTCATTTCATCAATTATCAAAGGGTTTATTTGACAATCTATATCATTGAAAAGAACATTCGAGTACATCTGTTTGATTGGGTTGACTGGCGGCGAAGTTTACAAATCAAAATAGAGGAATTGCTCCCAACAAATAATATTATACTTCCGTCGTCCCAAAAATAAAATTGTTTCCTTTAATAAATAAAATAATCATTTAGAGACGTAATGATCAAGTACTGATCATAATTGAAGAAATCAATGAAACATTGATTTACGAAGACACTTAATAATACTATGTGATTGTGAACATTGATTCGGAGGATACTGGTGTTAAAGGGTACTATGCCACCAGTAGAAAGATAGAATGGTGGAAAAGAGAGTTCCATTTTTATTATTAATCAGTGATAAGTTCGTA